GGGTGGGGCTTTGAGTTTCACAAGCATGACATTTGGCTTTCAAACAGTTTCTTCAAAAGTGCAGAAAAAGCGCCATGTCCTTGGCCTACCACCTGCTATCATGAGGAGCTTCTCTAGATCCTTGATGATATAAATTTGGAAGACGGCTCCAATTCCTGGGACATGGGTGAGGGAGTTTTTCAAGACATTCAGTGCGTACAGCCCTTCCTCTGTGCCCACCAACACCACCTGCAAGGGCAGAAGTCCAAAGGCAGACGTAAGCATAATCACATCGCCACAGCAATGCCAACAGTAAGAACAACAAAGCCAGCCCTGCCCATGCTTTCTCGACTGCATGTGGCTATGGCCAGATGCCAACTGACGGGATCCAAACAACACCATTACCTGGTCGCTGAAGGGCAGTGTGCAGTTCATGTCTAGACGGTCATCACCTTCCAGTTTCAACAGGGAGTTTCCAAGCAATTTCTTTTCACATGTTAAAGGAAAAAAGAAGAGAGAAAAGATGACATGGTGAGGTTGAGCTGTTCGTGACCAAACCATCCAGAGAGACGAAAGCAAAGAAAAAGAAAAGGTCAGTGGCAGGAAGAAATGCAAGCTACTCCTGAAAATGCTCAGAAAACACACATCTGCTCTTGGCTCACCCTGCTTTTTGACCTGAGCTCAAAAGGCAGGATGTGAACGTTCCTGGGATCTCTGAGGTGGTGGTTAATTAGCACCTGCGTTATAACATGGCTTGGACACAGAAACAAACTAGTGTAGTGGACGGAGAGAGAGAGTCTATGGTAGGAAATAAGCTGCAGCTAAAGAGAATTCACCTGCCAAGGGTTAATAAGCCACATGGGGGCTCCTTCCCCTCCAGGCTGCAGCAAAAGTGCAAAGCGCAGCGTCAGCAGCATACCCACAAGCTTTGGAATCTCTTTACCTGAACCCATGCAGACAGAAGCTCGTAGGAAATACAGGCACGGCCCTATTGTACACACATCAACGTGTATTTCAGTAAAAGGCTCACACGTGTAACAGTGAAACAGGTCATTAAAACAGGTCTGCCCAGTGAGCCAAGCTCCTACCAGGAGGCTCACGGTTAAGAATTTCCTGATTGCAAATACCCAGTGTTTACCAAGAGCTAGGTGTTTGAAAAGAGCTGTTTGGTCTTTGTTAGATAAATGCCAATGAGCCTTGTTTATATTCTGGAACTTTCTAGAAGGAGTGATGCCAATCAAGGCACACCTACATTTCTAACATCTTTAGGTTAAGTAGGATTTCAGACCTGCCCACAGAAGAGCAAATCGTGTAGAAGCAATTGGGAAGGTCACAAAAGCCCCCCTGCAGCTGACGTGGCTGTTGGCAGCCTTTCGTGCTGCTTCAGGGCCAAAGTGCTTGCAACTCAAGGCTTCAAACCAAATATTCATCAGAGTAAATAGGAGAGAATGTTGTCTTATCAGCACCTGGCTGCTCTGCTGTCATAACCGAGATCAGCAGCCCCAAAAGCTGGCTAAGGGCGCTGCCTCCCCCATCTATAGGGCTTGGGAGAGAGGGTCTGTGGTGCCAGACAAGCCACCCCAGAGCCTGTGTCTCCATCTCCACGGGGCTCCCGGTTGGGACAGTCTCAAGTCATCACCCCCGAGGGGGAGCCCAACCTCAGGAAGTCACAGCAGCCACAGGACGCCCGCCACTCCACTGACAAGCCCCCCAGTCACCCGCTCCACGGACACACTCCAGCGCCCTTCTTCATACTCACAGCATCGGCTTCTGCTTTTTCCCTAGAAACTCTCCCACCTGCGACAACTGATTCTAAGGCGGTGACCCAGCGCTGTTTGTCGGGGAAGCTGGGAGCCAGCAAGTAGAGAGTTCTCCCGGGCCAGCAGGTGGTGTGCGGGTGAGATTCCATCTTCAGTACGTAAGGGACATCTAGGAGATGGGACGGAGGGCACAGGGTTGGGTGTGGATGCCCCTCACTCCGCAGGGAGGGATGGCCCGGAGGAGTCAGAGATCCTGCTGGGCCACAGAGTCCCAGTCACTGCTCAGACGGGGACGCCAAGGAGCTGGGCTTCCCTGGCAGGTGATCCTCCACCTGCCCCCCCGGCCCCTGCTGACCCATGCAGCCCGGCCACTCCAGGCCGAGGATCTCCTGCGTCTCCTTACCTGCTTTGGCTGTATTTGCAAGTTCAGAAGCACCAACGGCGCCATGAATAGATACATCCCCATCGGGAAGGCACAGCTCAAATTCTTCCACCGGCCTCTGTCCAGCTTGGTGCAAAGAGGAAGCGCAGAAAGAAAAAAACAAAAGAACAGGAACAAGAACAAGGGGAGAAGAGAGAAAAAGAGAGGAGACAGAGAGGGCGAGAGAGAGGGTATGCGTGGAAAGAGAGGCACACGAGAACAGAGGAGGAGGGGAAGAGGTGTGCAGAGAAGGCGGAGAGGGAAGATAAAAAAAAAATAAAGTGTGTCAGATGAGTAGCACAGTCAAATTGCTGAGGACGATGCGGATTTATGGGTTAGTTGACTGAGGCGGAAGTTCTCTGAAGGTGAATTAGCAGGTAGAATCTTCAGGGCAGCACCCTGCAGGTTCTTCAGAGGGGAGACCTATAGACGTGAGTATCGTTCCAATAACCTTTAGTGAAGCCATTTGGTTTTTAATCTTCAAAAATGGAAAATCATAGAAGGCTTGCAATGCAGTCCAAAAAACAAAGCCTTCACGCCAAGACTGGGAGACCTGGGCCAACCACGTGCAATGAAATTCCCCCTGAATTATTAATTTACCTTCTCTGGCTTCACTGTCATAAATGAGGACTTTCGATCCCTCCAGGACAATGTACTTCCTGTCCCAGCCTTGCTGTCCTCGTTTGTTATTCCTGGGAAGATAGAAATTGAAGAGAGAAAACGTTTGAATTCAGAAGGATCAGGCAGGAGCAAGATGTGGGGTCAAGAGGGAATCCTAGTAAAGACACTTCCCTAGAGACATCAGGAATGGAAGCGGCTTGTGGCCATATCATTGAAGTTGGGGAACTTCCTCTAATCTATGTTCACTGTCTGGCCTAGAAATTTAAGTGATATTAGACAGATGAACAGAAAAAAGCATAGTTTTTATTTTACATGTACATGGAAGTTTCCACAAGAAAATAAAAACCCAAAAAAGTGGACAGACCCAAGGGCTTGTACACTAGGTTGAACAAAGGGTATACAGTTGACCCTTGAACAATATGGGTTTGAACTGCACTTACACACAGATTTTTTTCCAATAAATATATTGGAAAATTCTTTCAGAGATTTGTGACAATCTGATAAAACATTTTATCGAGCTTACTTTATTGTAAGACTACATCATATAATATGTATAACAGAAAATATGTGTTAATCAACTGTTTATGTTATTGGTAAGACTTCCAGTCAATAGTAGGCTATTACTACTTAAATTTGGGGGAAGTCAAAAGTTATAAGTGGATTCCAACTGCATCGGGGGTTGGTGCCCCTAATCCTCATGTTGTCCAGGGGTCAGCTGTAATTGAAAAAAAGTAACTAAAATGTTTGGGGAGGCTAATGGAAGATCAGAGTCCCTTTAACAAGGTCTGTTTGTACAGGTTTCTCTCTGCAAGCCTTGATTCCCTGTATATCTGGTGATAAGCATGTTTTGGTCCTCCCAGGATAGGGAGGACAGCTCCTACTTCCAGGAAGAGAAAGGGGAGGTCAGAGCATCCCTCTTACATCTGCTGTTTTTTAAGTGGTTTGGGCTCAAAATAATCCTCATTCCAAAGTGGCATGTTTTGGGGTAGCATATTCTGCCCCCCTCATAGCCCCAGCCAAGTCACCTGCAATCATACCTGGGCACCTTCATCCACCCTTCCAGGTGCAAGCCACTGCTGGGTTCCTTGGTCTGGAGACCTGGGGAGTTCATTTTGTCACGGCAGAAGGCCTCAGTGAAGTGCGTGGCATATTCAGCTGGCAGGCCACAGGTAGCTGGCAAGCACGTGGAGCACTTGGGATGACACATCACCTGACATTCTAGGAAGAAGCAGTGAACCTGAAAACACACCTGGCTGATCCTGCCTGGACCATCCCTTTCCTCTTCCAGCCAACCGCCGGGCAGGCCCCGTCAGCCTGGCCCTGTCAGCCTGGCCCTGTCACCCGGTTAATCCCTAGGCTTTCCCAGGAGCCAGGCCCTGACAGAGAGGAAACAAGAGAACCAAGCTCTCCTGACCCAATTTTCCTGGCTTCTCCCAAGACTGCCACAAACAGGTATATAAAGGACCCATCTGCACCGTTCAGGTGAAGTCAGCATACTGCCCAAAGGTAGAGAGACCAGCGTGACAAAAAGGGGCTGGAAATTAGCAAAGCCTAAGGCATTCTGCACAGGGAATTGGAGACATGAGCTGAAAACATTTATAAGTTCCTTTAACAGGGGAAAAATAGCGTCCTCCTACTGAAACTAAAAGCTTGAAAATGAATGCACGATATGATGAGGAATTTAAAAGAAAATCCACCTCCATCAGATAGATTTTTTTTTAGGCAGAGACATGCAAATGCCTGCTGCAAATGCACAACCGCAGCTCTTACCTAGACATTTGGATGCCTGGCGTCCAAAGTGCACAGTATCCAGACAAACAGCACACTTTGTGGCTCGCATGTTCAGTCCTACGTTAAATCGGTGAGGAATATTGTGGTGCATGCGCTCCTTAAGACGTCGACTGAATTCTGAAGGAATATTTTTAGAAGATCATCATGTACTGCAAATGATACCATCAAGAAAGCAAAAAGACAGCCCAAAGAAAGGGAAAAATATTTCCAATTCATATCTCTGACAAGGGACTTACAGCCACAATATATAAAGAACTACTACAGCTCAATAATAAAACACAAGTAGCCCAACTGAAAAATGGGCAAAAATCACTGATTATTACATAAACCAACTGAAGCATTCTTTCTTCACATACAGTTCTTTCATAAATAACCTCCCTCTGTTAAAAACACAACTTTTAAGCCTCAAAGAACCGATTTTTACATTTATATTCCAGTCTGTCCAAATTAACAAGAATTTTTTTCCCATTTCATAGGCTCCCTCTCAAAGGTGACCTGACTAATTAGAGGCAGCTTTCAGTAGAAAAGCTCAGGATCCAAATTTTCTGAATCCAAATTGGGTTCTCGATATAACATCACCCCCTTTCCTTTATCAAAGTTGTAAGGAATAAACAGCATGGATGCACTTTAAAACTGTCAATGTGCAACACACATGAGACAGGTGTCCGGAGTATCATGAACCACTCAGGCACTTGCTCTCTGCAGAAGGGACACCATGGACAGAAATGATTTGTACATCTGCGTGACCGCCACCGTTTTGAGAACCTTAAGAGTAAAGCTCTTTGATTCAAAGCCTTATGTCAACCTGGGAACCAAGACGACATCATCAGTGAGGAAAACCCACCACCACAATGGAACGCCGTCAAGGTTTACAATGAAAGTAGGCCTGACTGTGACAGCGTAACACTAAACCGCAGCTGTGCTCCACTCTCCCTAAGACTTTACAAATTACCTTCTTTGGTGTTTTGTTTTGTTTTTTTAAGTCCTTTACATCTCCAGGTGAACAGAGTACTTTTGAGGCCACAAAGAAATCTCCTTACACTGTTGGCAGGGCTATAAATTGGCACAAACTACCAACACTCAAAACGCGAATAATCTTTGACTCATGGATTCATTTGTCAAGAACTTATCCTGCAGCCCTAAAGCCCGCAGAGGTGCAGGATGTTTACTACAGGGTGTTCTTGGTAATGAGGAATCAGAAATACCCTTAAATGTGCCACAGCAGGGGTCTGGCTTAATAGGTGAGTCATATACTTATACCAACAAATACTATTAGCCCTTTGAAGGGTGGGGCTGACCCACATGTATTAAGAAACACTCCAAGATAACATTCAAGTCAGCCTGGCCCTGTCACCCGGTTAATCCCTAGGCTTTCCCAGGAGCCAGGCCCTGACAGAGAGGAAACAAGAGAACCAAGCTCTCCTGACCCAATTTTCCTGGCTTCTCCCAAGACTGCCACAAACAGGTATATAAAGGACCCATCTGCACCGTTCAGGTGAAGTCAGCATACTGCCCAAAGGTAGAGAGACCAGCGTGACAAAAAGGGGCTGGAAATTAGCAAAGCCTAAGGCATTCTGCACAGGGAATTGGAGACATGAGCTGAAAACATTTATAAGTTCCTTTAACAGGGGAAAAATAGCGTCCTCCTACTGAAACTAAAAGCTTGAAAATGAATGCACGATATGATGAGGAATTTAAAAGAAAATCCACCTCCATCAGATAGATTTTTTTTTAGGCAGAGACATGCAAATGCCTGCTGCAAATGCACAACCGCAGCTCTTACCTAGACATTTGGATGCCTGGCGTCCAAAGTGCACAGTATCCAGACAAACAGCACACTTTGTGGCTCGCATGTTCAGTCCTACGTTAAATCGGTGAGGAATATTGTGGTGCATGCGCTCCTTAAGACGTCGACTGAATTCTGAAGGAATATTTTTAGAAGATCATCATGTACTGCAAATGATACCATCAAGAAAGCAAAAAGACAGCCCAAAGAAAGGGAAAAATATTTCCAATTCATATCTCTGACAAGGGACTTACAGCCACAATATATAAAGAACTACTACAGCTCAATAATAAAACACAAGTAGCCCAACTGAAAAATGGGCAAAAATCACTGATTATTACATAAACCAACTGAAGCATTCTTTCTTCACATACAGTTCTTTCATAAATAACCTCCCTCTGTTAAAAACACAACTTTTAAGCCTCAAAGAACCGATTTTTACATTTATATTCCAGTCTGTCCAAATTAACAAGAATTTTTTTCCCATTTCATAGGCTCCCTCTCAAAGGTGACCTGACTAATTAGAGGCAGCTTTCAGTAGAAAAGCTCAGGATCCAAATTTTCTGAATTCAAATTGGGTTCTCGATATAACATCACCCCCTTTCCTTTATCAAAGTTGTAAGGAATAAACAGCATGGATGCACTTTAAAACTGTCAATGTGCAACACACATGAGACAGGTGTCCGGAGTATCATGAACCACTCAGGCACTTGCTCTCTGCAGAAGGGACACCATGGACAGAAATGATTTGTACTTCTGCGTGACCGCCACCGTTTTGAGAACCTTAAGAGTAAAGCTCTTTGATTCAAAGCCTTATGTCAACCTGGGAACCAAGACGACATCATCAGTGAGGAAAACCCACCACCACAATGGAACGCCGTCAAGGTTTACAATGAAAGTAGGCCTGACTGTGACAGCGTAACACTAAACCGCAGCTGTGCTCCACTCTCCCTAAGACTTTACAAATTACCTTCTTTGGTGTTTTGTTTTGTTTTTTTAAGTCCTTTACATCTCCAGGTGAACAGAGTACTTTTGAGGCCACAAAGAAATCTCCTTACACTGTTGGCAGGGCTATAAATTGGCACAAACTACCAACACTCAAAACGCGAATAATCTTTGACTCATGGATTCATTTGTCAAGAACTTATCCTGCAGCCCTGAAGCCCGCAGAGGTGCAGGATGTTTACTACAGGGTGTTCTTGGTAATGAGGAATCAGAAATACCCTTAAATGTGCCACAGCAGGGGTCTGGCTTAATAGGTGAGTCATATACTTATACCAACAAATACTATTAGCCCTTTGAAGGGTGGGGCTGACCCACATGTATTAAGAAACACTCCAAGATAACATTCAACCAAAAGGAGAAAGGCGTTTTGCAGATATAATGTAGTGTGCTATGATATGTATAACAGAAAAGGGCTAAGAAAAGTATGCTTATTTTCTCATACTCTTTAAATATTATTACATAAGATAAGAGAGATAAGAGAGATGAACAATTATTATATAAGATAAGAGAGAAGAACAATACTGACATGCAGTTACATGTATTGGAAGAACACAATGGTTGATTCTGGATAAGGGAACTGGGACTGCAGAGAGGGCTGAAGACTACTTCTCATTCTCTATCCCTTGGTATTACTACTTGTCATTTTTACCATAAGTCTGCATTTCTTATCAATTAAAGAAAACATCAACACAGCTCCAATGGGCCCTTGAGAACATACCCTCTGGAGTTGAAGACTCCTTTCTGCGGCTGGATGGCGGGGCCAGCAGGCTCATGGCACTGGGCTGGTGCTCGGGGGACCGCACGATGGCGGACATGGCGATCTGCTGCCTCGCTGTGGCTGGCGTAGATGGGTGCGGGTGATCTGTGGCCTTCCGGTGGGCAGCTGGAGAGAGACCAGTCCAACGCCTTTCAGTTAGCTGGGTCACCAGAAGCCCAGACCAAGCAGACTGCCTCTGGGCTGTCTTTCACGGATCTGAGACCAAAAGGCCATGCATCATGCCAAACTGGCAATGCCCAGGATTCTGTGAGTTCTTCAGACCCGGGATGTGCGGACTGAAAGCTTATGGGCCATCAATACAGATGCTGAACTGGTATGACTGATCTCCTTGAGACTGGCCTCTGCCTTTGCCATAGCCCTTTGCGTAGAGAGAGCCCCTACCTTCCTCCCTGGCAGACCGGAGCTCGATGCGGGTCTTCTGAAGGGCTTCCTCTAGCTCTGCACAGCGAGCTTTCTCCTTCTCCAGAGCCACCTTCAGCTCATTGTACTGCAGAGGAACCTGTGTGGGCAAAGCAGGGTCCTCTTTCCGTCGACTAAATAAACCCTAGCAATGGAAACAGAGATATCTCCTAACTCCTGGAAACTGGCACTTTAAACTAGCTAAAGGACTCTGACTTGGGAGGAGCAAGCCACGAAAGCCAGAAGCATACTCACTGTAAGTGGATTTAGTAAAAATGGCATGTGAAGGGGGAAAAGGGGAGACTGAGCCACAGCCAATTCCAGCCGGCTGGAAAAAAAATAGGGGTGTGGAAGTTTTCACCAAGAGTGTTAAAGATGCTTGCATTGCCACCACCTCTTCCTTTAGCATTCCCAAGGAGAGCCATTTCCTGAGTCTTTACCCTCAAAAAATGGAAGTGGAGGATGGAGTCAGAAGAGATGGTTCAGAAATCACTCTTGCCTTGAATTTGTCACATGATGCTTAGTTATGGGACACAGAGATGGGTGTTTTTTAAAAGGAAGCAAAAAAACTGAATACTAAAATAATGTCAAAAACAAGGGGCTTATACAAAATAATGCAAATGGAAACACATACCGTGCATGCAGAAAAAAAATAAGACATGGAATAATGCGAGTGAGAAAGAAAATTAATCAACACCAAAAGTAAGTGGAAATACCCTAACTACATCAAGTGACATAATCAGATAACAGTCCGCTGCTAAAACAAAAAAGATTAAATATCATAAGCGTAACACAAACAAACAGTCACATGTATGCAAGAAAATCCTTCCCCTGCAGCCACCACTTAGTAGAGGGTTGCTCTCATCCCCTCACAGAAAAGAAGCTTCTGGAACATTGAGACCCACTGCCCACTTCAGCCCATTCCTAGGTATTTCATGCCATCGGAGGTCATCCCTGTAAAACCACTGCCACTGCTACTCTGGTGTGCAACGGCCTTTGGAAGGAACTGGAAGCTCCTTCCAGACCTTTCTGAATTGAGACCACCAGGCTAAACCTAGCAAAAGAGCCTCAGTGGTTTAGGGACGTGAATGTTGGGCTACAAAAAATGTTCCCGTGTGCCTCTACAGACATGCCTATCCAGTTTTGTTTTTATTTTTGTCATAGTTTTTCATTTGTCTGTTCCAACAAAGGGATGGAGTAGTACTGGGGGGAAGGCAGCTACTTAGTCAGGCACCTCAGGCAGGTCACAGGCAAAAGGACTGAGCCAGATGATTTCTAGTCTTTTCTGGAGTGCCATACACATGACCTGAGAGAGCCCTTCTACTGTCCTTTACAGACGACTGTTAACTGTCCTTTACAGATGATTGTTAAGCCCTCTAGAGTCCCATGAACATGACCTTAGAACCCCTCTTTCTTAATTCCGTACATGTGACCTATAATCTCTCTAGAATCCCCTACTTGTGACCTGCTAATTCCTCTGAAATCCTGTACAAGTGAGTTAAGAACCCTTCTGAAGTCTGACAGGCTGGCCTTTCTCTCTGCTAACATGCCCACCCCAGCTGCTTAGGGGGGAAAAAAAATCACTCTCTTCACAGAGACAGATGCTAGAATTTTAAAGGCCAGCAACACAAAGTGGTTTGTTAGACTTGATCATGATCATGATGTGCTCTCTCTGTAAGGGCTATTCTGATGACCTCAAAACCTATTTTTCAACCCGATATAAAGTAAGAAAATGTGCACTTCATTTTCTATGGTGTTCCTATGATTATCTCAGAAGTGGTCGCGGGATCAAATAATCAAGCGACACTGCCAACTGCCCACTTTTCAAACACTTTGACCCACCTTTTTCTTTTTAGCAGGTTGGTCCATTTTCGCTTGCAGAAAATCAATGAGTTTGGTTTGTTGAGAGATAGTACCTTCCATTTTCACCTTCTCATGAGAATAGAGAACCTAAAATTCATGAAGACAAAAATAATCTCAGACCCAAAAGAAGTATACTTTTAAATTTGGTACTTTAAGAAAATTAAACATAAAGTAGTTAGGATACTGGCATCTGAAAACTCAACACAAACAACACTAGGTCAGTGTTTATTTACTTAGTTTAGTTTATTTCTTATAGCAAAAAAAAAGTGAACTGTTGGATGAACAGATATGTGTAACAGTAAAAATCGCAAGTGGTTAATATTTGAATCTGGGGCATGATTGTTATAGGAATTCTCCAACTTCTCTGAATGAAAATTTTCATTATGAAATATTGGGGAAAATACGCAATAGTACACAACATATATACTGATCATTTTACTAGATGGCTTTTAGCCACCATGCTGTGCCTTCACAGACAATTTTTAAGTAAGTTCCCTTTGCAGGTTCTCACCTGAATGTTTTCTAGCTGATATTCAAGATCACTCCTTTCTGTCTTCAGCAGATCAGCCCGATCTAGAGCTTCTTGCAGCCCTTGAGTCAGACGGAAAATATGATTCTTCTGCAGGTCCATCTGCTGCTGTAATTTGGCTTGCTAACAGGGAGAAAGGGTGGAGACAGACTCAATACCACACACAATACAACTTGTTACCCCATTGTTTTGTTTACCAAACCAATTTCAGGCATGGCACCAAAAACTTGGTTTTGAAATCATCTCACTCGAGAATTACCAGTTATCTTCTCTTCCAAACTGATGCACACAGTTAAAAAGCATTTGCGCAGAAATCCCTGAGGGCCAGCAAGTTACTGGATCCCCACTGCAGCATGAAGTTTGGGCGGGTGGGTCTGCCTTCCCAATCAGAGTTGCAATTAAGGATATTTTGGTGCTTAAGAGAACAGGCCATCCGAGTTGACATCTAAGGTGGTACATCTTACTGCCAATGACAAATATGTTCCAATTTGTCCTTATTTTTTGTTCTTAAGATCTCAGTTGCTGTCAGAAGAAATCACTTGGTTCAGGCAGTGTGGAATATGCAAAGGGCAATCATATCACCTCTACCTTAAAGAGCACCTCATCAGGGTGAGTACGCAAATAGCCACAGTCGTAGTAGGTGATACTTGTGCAGTGCGGGGAGGAACGAAGAAGGTCCTGAATGCAGTCCCAGTGTCAGTAAACCCAGGGAAAAAATTCAATTTAGTATATCAGAAACAGTTTTGTGCTGGATATCCTTCTCCAATGTTTAAAATGGAAGTCAACTAGAAAATAGAGCAGGCTGTAAGATACTGGTTATTTGACTCTTTCCCCTAAAATGCTTCTATCTCTAAAAAGCAGGAGAAAGTGGCTCTCCTGACAAGATGCTGCTTGATTTCATCCAACCCCTGGGTTATAGCCTAACCACACTTGGTGTGGCCCAAATACTCCCTTCCTGGGGAGCCTAGGTACTCCACAGACTCACGGACTGAGTTAACAAAGAGCAATAAACATCACCGTGGGAGAGGTCCAACAGGCAGTGGCAAACCCCAGCAGGCGGAGAGCAACCGATGACCTCGGAGTTTGCCGACCCTCTCTACCTTCACGTTCCTTCCCTCCACCTATGTCTTTGTTTTTCTGTCCATTTCTACTCCTCATGTGTCCTTCCTCTTGAGAGGTGACTGATTCTTTGAGGCATCATCATGGAGTGGAACGAACTAGGACTTTGGAACATTCAAGACCCCGATATAAGTCCTGACTTGAGCACATGTCAGTCATATGACCCTGGGGGACTCACACTGCCTCTTGGAGCCTCAGTGTCTTCATCTGAAAGTGGTGCAATACCTCCCCAAATACCGTGCCCACACACCGTAGATGCTTGGGGAGTCTGAGTACTCTCCATCTCCTCTGGCCTTTCTTCCCTCCAGCCAGCTCTGGTCCTCTCCTCCCACTTCCCCGTCTGCCTTTCCCCTACCAGCTTACTCCACCAGCCTCTCACTTATCAGTCTGCCATAAAGCAAGAGACACTACTATTAACAAGCAATCACCAGCCCTATGTGCCAACCTGGAATTTCTATTTCAATCCACAGAACCTCCTAAACACAGGAAAAAAGGAAAGCAAGAAAACAGCTAACTTTTTAAAGGGAGCTATCAAGTCCCTTGCAGCATGAGTGATTTCTTCCACAAATTACCCTCTTTAGTATCTTCCCCCTATTTTAGGACAACATTAATTACTAGGCAGGAAGCAGAGAAGCAAGTTCTGGGGACAAGAATCTGTTTGGTGACAGCAAGGCCCAAAATATTTTTCTAGAATAAACACATCAACTGTCCCTTAGCTTTTCAAGAAATAGGCTGCTTATTTACTATAATAAAAAAGTAAGTAACAGTGACACTTGTACTCAATGGAATGTTTTCAAAACTATTTACCTTCTTCCCAGAGAAAGACACATGGAGGCTATTCACAGATCAGGTTAGATTGAAAGGAAGGCTTTAGCTGTGTGCTCAGATCTGTCAAACAATTTTACAAGGGTGACAGGAGACTGGGAAGAAGCACGAAGGGGCTGACTGACAGAACCAGGGCGCGACGACCCTGGTGGCTGGAAGGGTGAATCAAAATGAACAGGAGAAAGTCTGACAGGATGGGATTTTTAAAACACCAGCTGAAAAAATACAAAACATAATAATGTTTAAAAAAAAAACAACCCAGGCCAATGGGCGTCAATAGTGTGATAAAGCTACTCAAAGAGTCTGGGTCATTGGCAGAGATTTACAGAGCCCAGAATGGAGGTGGAGAGATCCTGTTGTATTCCATGCTGTTTGGGCCACATGGACTTCTAGAAACTCTTTGGGAAGATAAATCTACCAGAAAAGACAACCCAAACTTGGAGGGACTTGAAATACAAAAGAAAAGGCAACTGGGAGTGGAAGAGCTACTGAGATATCTAATAGACTGTTATGCAGAAAATAAAAGTAGTTCTTCCACAGAATTGCCACAAAGGCTGTGAGTTACGTCATTTAGAGTATTCAGAAAGGCACCTGGCACATAATAAGTGTTAATTAAATGTTACTGTAACTATTAATCAAATAATATGATTATTAATCCATATTAATCTATTTTAGTTGGAAATATCAGACTGCTCTCTATTTTCAAATGCTTCAACACAATAGAACCAATGGTTGGAAGTTGTAGGCTTTAGTTCAAAATAAGATAGAACTTCCTAAGAATTAGAGTTGCTGAAAAAAAAAATGGGTTGGGATATCCAAAAGCACTGTATTTAGGCTGAGGTTCAACAAGGCCCACCTGTTAGAGATACTGGGGAATGGATTCTCTATCTTGGACAGGACATTAATTTGACCAGGATTAGCAAATGGACTTTCATCTCTGGCATTTCTTCCAATAGACTGATAGTGGTTGCAAAGTACCACATCAAAAAAGCTTCTGAGGCCATTTCAGGCCCAAGAGGAAAGATTTGGGAGAAAGATCCATTAGTAAAATCTGCCAGGGGCAGGGATAAAGGTAACAGTGGTGCAGGTGCTAGGAAATTGGACTACATGACACAGAAAAACTCTCTCCAACTCAGAGCACCATCTATGAGTTTCTGTACCTAAGGAAGAGGACACCTAAGTTAAGCCCTTGGTCACATGCTTATAAAGCGCACACTACAGCTAAGAATCCTAGCCACTCAAGATAATTCTTTGTTTCATAATGGTTTCAGCCGTCAGTGAAATTTGCTTCAAATTCACTGTCAGCCAGATGTCTGTGCTCAAAAATCTATCTGCGAGGTATAGACAGGGAAACTGGAAATGTTCTCATGAGCTGGGAAATGAGACTGAATCAGGGTTCCAGTGTTCTATTCCCAGCCTTGCCACTGACTCACCATGTAACCTTGGACCAAAGGACTGAGCTGTCAAGGCCAACTCTCCTTCCTTGGAAAGGAAAATAGGACAGGTGGGATCATTGGCTATTTCTGTCTTTCTGTCTCCAACATGTGCTTACAGTAGGGAAACTGCCTATTCATTCCAGATAAGAGACCATAATTCCATAATTCTCTACTTGACCACCAGGTAGATTTTTTAATTTCTATTACAGTGTTTAGTGCTGCCTTTGGTGAACTTCCCACCTATATATATAAAATTAATTTGTTTCAAAATTGTCATTGTGGTAAAATATACATAAAATTGACCACTGTAACCACTTTTAAGTGTACAGTTCAATGGCAGTAAGTACATTTATTGTTGTATTACCATCACCACCATCCATCTCCTGAACTCTCCCAAACTCCCACCCATATTTTTTGAAGTATCATTCAATAAAACATTTCATACTCACTGCCAAATTTTCACCACACTTGTCAAACTGAACAGCACAGCAAGATTATTTCTATCAGCAGAGCCCCTTGGGAGCTATGGTTATCATACAGCAAAACCTCAATTAACCAGAATAGGTGATGGGGTTAGCTGAACAGTCAGGTTCACTATGGGTTAAACAGAACACTCTTGGAGTGCAGCTTCTCTTTAAATATCTTTATAAAGTGCACTTGTCTTGGTTAGTTAATTCTAATGAACAAAGCCGAATCATTAGTGATTCACCATATAGGGCTTTGGCTGGAAGTAGGAAGTAGTCATCAATTTAAATAGAGATTTTCAGAATTCTGTTAAAAGGTACAGGCAATAACATAAGGGTGGTTTAAGAGATCAATTTGAGCTTTTTATTTTATGACTCAAAAGCAAGGTATGATTTTCCTTTAAATTGAATCAACTGAATGTTCAAAAGTCTTTGTGAAACTTGGTCCTGAGCGTAATCTGACCGAGTTGCTGCCCTGTGCACGAGGCTAATTTGCATGGATGGTCTATCAGCCGAAAACCTAATACACTTTGGTTATTGACTCTAAAGAACAATTTAAACTTAACATTCATTCACCTTTACATTTAATAAACTCCCACTTGGCACATACTCACACATGCTTGACAGTTATAAGCCACCATGCAGGACACAAATGACAAAAAGACCCTCTGGCCCTTAGGACACATTCTTTTAACACATTTAATACCTTCAAGAAAGTATTAAGTGACCACCTACTCTTCCTCGAAAATTCCAACTTCAAAATCTGAACATCTGATTTGGATCTGACCACCTGAACACAACAAATTTTCACCTTGGAAATTCCACCTGGCTCTGCTTACCAGGTGTTCTACACTCACCTCTTCTAGGAGCCTTTGTTTGAGCTCTCGTTCAGTCTCCAGTTTCTGCTGTAAACTTCGGGCATTCATTTCAAGCATGGCATGTTTCTTCTCCAGGTCATTGAGCTGGACATTTGGAAAGATTGGCCATGATACCACATTAAGGAATGTTAGATGCTCACAACTTCTGCAAATATCCACAAACCTTCACGTGTAAATAATAATCAAGTTCTAATGGTCAGAATATAAATACTGCTTTCAAAAGTATACCACAAAAGTCTGTGTCATAGATAAGCCTTATACAGGTTATTCTGTGAGAACGGATTACTTCTAAAGGAAGGGTCACATAAATAGCTGTGACGAGTTCTAAAAGGATGATAGCTTTGGCTGACTTTAATTAAATAATCATAAGTTGAAATGCTTACTACTTGCCAGCAGAGTGTCAGGGGCTTCGGAGATGAAAGGGTGGACAGGCTCTCTCAAGAACCTTACATTAAGTCACAAAGGCTAAGGGTGACCCATAACTAGATGTATACACAGAAATGACTGCTTTGTCACATGGTAATTTTGATGAGAGGAAGGGAGAGGAGAAATTCATCCTGGATTGCCAGTCATCAAGAAAAGATGGCATCAGAATGTCTGGAGTCTTAAAGGATGGGTAGCACTTTGCTATGGAACACTTTAAGAACAGCCAAACAGAAAAAAATATTCTTCAAGTTCAACACAAAAGGGTTCATTTATCTCTAATACATTTATTTTCCTCATGGTAAGAAAAAAAGAGTAAGCCAGTACCAAGAAACTCAGGGGTATTCCTGAGTGGCAAGCTCTAGCCTTGAATCTAATCATTTCATTTATAAGAAATTCCTGCAAAAAAAAAAAAAACAACAATTGTGGATGCCCAGAAAGACGTATGTTCATCACAGTGTTATTTATAATGGCAAAAAGTTGGAAGAAGCTCAAATTTGCAGCACAAATGGAATGATTAAAATAGGTACTTCTGTGCAATTGACGTTTTTAGAACTACATGCTCAAAAAATATTCAATTAACTCAGGAAAAGCCCCTAGTTATATGATGCCTTAAAAAAAAAGATGTAAAGCTGTTTATATAATAAGAACTTGAATTTATAAATTCATGTGTGTGTGTATACTCATAAACATACCACACAAAGAAAAGACTACAAATAAATTCACCAATATTACAGTGGTGATGGATTACCAGTCATTTTTCCCTTTACTTTTCTGTGGTTTCTCTCTCTTCCACAATGACCCCAAATAATTACCTTTATAATCCTTGAATAACAAAGATTTACAAAAATTCAGATTATTACTTTATGTGTGTGTTTTGTGTGAGACCTGTATATTTGTGGGAGTCAGTGTGTGTATGTATATATACATGAAATTTCTCTGATCTTCATTTTTGTTATCTACAACATTGAAGCACCTATTCTAAATCTCTTTCAAGACTATTAGATAAAGTCACCAAAACACTGGTACAGCACTTTGTAAATATAATATGGAATGCCACCCAGACAGACACGTGTGTTTCCAGCATGATACTGAGGACTTGCACTGCCCTCAGACCCTCTCACGTCCCTGGACTCCGTACATGCAGAGGCTGAGCTGCCTGGTATTGCAGCAATGGAATGAGCACTTGTCTTTGCCACCAAGCATGTCCCAAGGATGCTCAACATTAAATCCACAAAGCCTTCCAGAAATCGAGTGCCAGAAAATGAGAGAATTGTGAACTTAGATCAAAATTCAGACCTCAGAGACTCAGTTAAAAAGTCACTGACTGACTGTGAAAACCCAGTTCACACACCCTACTCCCTACACACACGCACTATTATTGCCAATCAAGGATGTCCCGTTGTGAAGCACAACCATGTGACTGGTTTGTGCTGAGGAAATGCATGTCTGTGAAATGTGTTGACTGTGGATTGCATTTGAATTTGTATCAAACATGCCTTCTAAAAGAAGGAAGTGAGAAGGTGTTCCTCAGAGGCAGAAGAGATGGTGCTGACCTTGTCAGAGAGGCTCTCAGCTTTTAGCTTCTGTTCTTTGAGAGCCTGCTGCAGAGCAAGAATCTCGGCCTTGTGTTCCTTCACTGCCAGCTCTACCACCTGGCGTGACTCGGTGATCCGCTGATCAGCTCTTGCCCTGCCAGGAAAACACAGGCCCACTGTCAGAAGCCCACCATTGCCCACCTAGAGAAAGGAAATTGGCCTCTACTCCCAGTAAGCAACCAAACAGCCTGCAGCCGGAGAGATGCCCAACTATGAGTCCTAGTTCCAAATTATGTCTTGCTGTCTGACCACTTACAGAGTGAAGACGTGACCCACTTTAGGCATTGGGTAAAAATACTCCTAATAGGTAAGGTTCCTGTGAATGCTCAGTTTTCCAAGTGCAGCTGGGCTAAATAGGATGTGTCGAGACTATCACAGTCTCCTGTGGGAGGGAAATGGAATGAGGTACCCCTGGGACCACAGGGGACAGAGGACCGTGGGAATGCCATGTGAGCAATTTCCTTTCCTTCTCCTTAAAGCACATGAAATGAGCGTTTTGGGTGCTCATCAAGAAACTGGAGCTTGAATCTCATGAATATATCTGTAAATAAAGTTAGAGAATAGAAAAGCTAGAAGAAGCCAACTAGAAAAACTGCTTCCCTTTCCCCGTTTAGGTCCTGTGCCTTGCTCCTTCCACACCTGGACTTGCACAACCTTCCCACTGGCGATGCCCTCTTTCCCTGCCTTGCAAACCCAAATATTTCCTGGCCTCAAGGATAAACTCAAAGGCCACATCCTACATGACACCTTTACTAATTTCTCCTCCCACAACTAAACTCTCCTTGCTCTGTATCCAAAGCATAAATGCACTTCTGTCTTGGCACACGACACCTCCCTCTTTGTTTTAGGTAATAAATATTCAAATGCATAATCTCTGCTAGATTCTTAGCCCCTTGACGATAAGAATGAAGAACTGTAATTTACTCTTCTCAGTATCCCACATAACACCAAAACAAGGGGGGAAAGGAAAAAGAAAAGCCAAGGTCTTTCATAAGTACCCCTGAACACATACATGAAATGTTTTCCTGAGCACAGCCCATAACTACACCATCCATATGCAGTTGTGTATTTCTTGACCCACAAAATTATCTCTGAAGGACTCTAGAAACAGCCACAGTGGAGGTAGACTTTAGAGTGGGAAGGAGGGGGTCTGTATGAAAACCACCAGAATGTATCATAAGGACTTGGGGGGCACACAGATTCAGAGGGAAGCAGAACAGGAGGTCTTCAAGCAGCAGCCTCCCCCATCAGCAAACACCCTGAATGGGAGGACATCCAAAAGGGGGAAATTTCAACCAGCTTTTCTTAAGATGTAAGGGTTCTCATCTTCTGCCTCCAGTCTGTTCTAGTTTAATTGACTCAGCATAGATTAAACACCCAACACATTTAGTTGAAATCTACTGTGGTCAAGTGAATGTGGGAAATACCGAAATGAGTCTGAGAGACCCAACTGAATGACAGGCATTTCTGTGCACAGCTTATCCTCCTTCAGGGGTTCAGAGTATCACGGGAAGGTAGGCTTCAAAGGTAATATTCGCGAGGGTTTGAAGGATGGCTATGATTCTGTTGTGCAGACACGGGGTCAGGGTCGGCTGGCCCAAACCATCGAGATGCCGTGGCTGAGAATGGAGAATGGACAAGCCCAGACAGTGGGTCTCCTGCCCCTCACTCCCAGGTGGCCCTGCTGCTGTCACTGTCCCTGGCTTTCTACTGATGGGAAGCCCCACCTGCTCTGTTTCTCCGTGTCCAGCATCCTCTGTAACTCTCGAACCCGACACTCAAACTGGGACTTCTCATCGCCGAGGACGCTCCTCCACGCCTCCCACTGGCGCTCCTTCTCCAGCAGCTCATCGTTCAGGGCCTCCAAGTCCATGACCTGCTCTTCCAGCATTGTGCAAGTGGTCTTCAGCGCCTCCATCGTCTGCAAATCAGTACCACTGAGTTGTGCCTTGTATCAAACGAGGATTTCCTGGATGTTACTTATGTCAGATTAGTTTCAGAAAAGCACAAGTCTGAAATACAATCTATCTTTTTCTTCTACAGGCTGAGGGGGCTGGCCAAGAGTGGATGAGGGACCATTCCTGCCACCATCTAATAGGCAGAACCCAAAGCAAGGTCAGGGGAAGAGACTGTGCGTAACAGCCAAGTGGCTCCCAGTAGCCTCCCAGGGAGAAGAATGACACACTTTTAAAAGCCAGTTTTTGAAACCCCTAAGCCCTCAAAACCCAGACATGATTATGAACAAGAGCCCACTCAAAGGACAAGGTCGGCTTGGAATCCTTGGGAGAGATGCACCAGGTCCTCACTGTAAAATCTGCAGGGGCCTCTGACACTGTGTGCCGCCCTTACCTGCTTCTGGCTGGTGAGCTGCATCTCTCTCTCCGTGATCTCACGGCGGAGATGGTCCACTTCACTTCGTAGCTGTACTATCTCGTCATTGGCGCCAGAAGCCTCATCGAGTTGTTTGGACAAGTAGAAATTTTGGTTGTTAAGCTCGGCGTTGTCCTCGGTCAGCTGGTTGAGCTGCTCCTCCAGGTCTGTGATCACCTGAAAGAGCAGAAGAATCCACCGACACATCAGGCAAGTCAGTTTTAAATGAGAAATTGCTTCTAGAGCCATTGAACCTATGTGACCCTGGCAATCAATGTGCAGCTCACATTGGCCTCTCCAGCCCTGGCAGCCAAACTCAACCACCCACACCCTCCCACTTAAGTGCTAACACACACAGGCTGCAGCAGAAAAAGAAAAGTCTGATTCTTTCTAACTCGATTCATCTGGAAAATATAGCAAAAGCAAATCGCCAAAAGTGACTATACAAGGGGCAATTTTAATGAGATCAAGTGAACAGATAATAATATAATGTGGAAAAGGCAAATTGAGGAAAGAGGAATAATAGACTGGTGCTACAATAAGTTAATTAAGCTTAAATGCCCATGACACCATCTATAGGACACTATAATTGGAGAAAGTCTTAGAAGGCAAAACAAAGTTCTTATCAAGGAAGACTGACCGTGAAGGACACTAAGAGACATTTTAATAATATCTCAGGCAATCAATTTAATTTCATGCAACAAAGGAAAAAAAAAAAAAACTTAAGGAAAGCTCGGAATAATCCTGAAAATGCAATATTGTACTATGGCCTCACTTTAATGGTTTTTATTATACAGTTTAACTCCCAGAAAATGGGGAGGCATGTATATAAAACTGCCATTTTACTGGGAGAGATTTAATCTGGTTTTGCTAAATTATTTCCCTCTCAATGGCAGGATGACTTCAATTCCAGTGCATTGAACTTTCCTATTCTCTTTGCTGAGGTTCAGTATCTGAGCCTGCAAAGAGCCTTTATATATATTACTTTTTAGAAGTTTAAGGACAATTTTCTAATAATAGTTGGAATGAGGCACACAGGCAGCAAATTAAATTTTATGTAACAAAAAGAAGTAAATTAAAAGGCAATGCCTTGAAGCCTACAGCTATTCCCAATTTTCAAGCCCAGAGTAGACTTCATTTATGAAATGTTGCCACTGTTTCCATGACTTAGTCCCTATTTTAACCCCCTCTGATTATCAATTTAAAATAACTTCCCAGGCACACAGAATTAAAGAACATCAATTAAGTACATTTGTTCATTGTGGCTCAGAAAACACAGCTTCTCATTTTGTTAACTGAGCTGATAAGCTTTTACTGTAGTAAGTGGTCTAGTAATTTGTAATTTAATGTCAAAAGCCACGTTAATTCCTAATGGATTGGTTTGAGGTATGCTGTCAGCTACAAGAGGGGGGAATAAAGGTTATTGTGGTTATCGGTCAGGTTCTCAGCTAGAAATCCTTCATCGGGGAAAAAAATAGGAAAGATACTGCATGTGTGCCATTAAGCCTCACAGAGAACCCTGTATCGCCCTTTCTGTGACAAGGCTAAGTCTCCTAAAACCAGAAGCAATGAATAAACGATGCCTGATGGTTCAACTGGTCTCCCCCTTATATGCAGAAAACCGATGCTTTAAGATAGACAGCAATGTCTCCGTTTAACTATTGTGCTTCCTTCCAATTCTTTCCCACAGGAAAACAACAAGAGTGAGACAGTTGGCTTACAAGCTATGCCGTGAAATGAGGATTCTGGAATCCCAAATAAGCCACCTTGAGCTTTCTGGGTTGGCTTTCTCCATCTGTGATGTAGAGGCAAATATTATATTTATGACCTCCTCTGTTTCTACTTTTTCTAGTGTTTTGAATTTTCTTGCATACTGTTCTACCTTCGTGTATCATGCAAAATAAAGGGATAAAAATTAACAGCCGAGACAATGCTTCATTTTAAAGATTACAATGGGGCCTCTTGGGGAGCAAACGGACCACAGAAAAAGTGTTCCTGTAAGAATATATACATGCCAAATTTGTTTACTTGCCATTCCAAACATATTTAATCCTTTGGGTACCCACTTCTTTTCTTTGATTTATGGGGGGAAAAAGCTATATTGTATGAGCCCATTTCTGCCACCTCTTCTCCTTCTTCCAAAATTAGATCATAAAATGTTGAAGAAGAAACACTTGAAAAAAGTCAATGAGGTGCCAAGACAATTACTCTCTCTCAACTGAGATGGACCCACTGTAGTAGGAAGGGTGCTTCTCCTTCCCTCTTGTCATCTGGTTCAAGGCGTCTGGCATCTCTGATTTCTACGCAATTTGTGATAGTTGGTTCTATATTTTGCATCATCCCTATTTTGCCCGTAAGAGAAGAGGATTGTGTGTATGCGTGTGTGAAGCATCCAAGCACTCATTAAAGCATTTAACTCATTCAGACTGCTCCTTCATTCTTTCTGCCCAAATCACATATTTAGCTTGTGACTCTGTTTTGAGTTGTTGGAGTTGCGGTAATAAGTGTTAAACACACCCCACCACACGCAGTATTGAGTTTACTGATAGTGAACTGGCTTGAGATACTGGCAGTAAATTAATGGTCTACATGGTTTAAAAAATTAAAAAAAATAAAAAAAGAACAGGCAGTCTGTAATTCCGAACCAGGTAACACGCAAGGAGAATTCTTAGGTCTACTTTGTGGCCAGGGGTATATTCTTTCCATACCAAGGGCAAAAGATCTGTTTACTGTCTTAAGAATCTGTTAACCTTTCAACCCCAAGGGCAAAGGATAAAAAAAAGACAATGAGGCTGACTCCAACTTAGCAGTAAAAAAGATGAGGGTGACAGATTCATAATGCAGGGGCCAGCTGAACTCTTTTACGCTGTTTGTGCAGACAAGAGGTCTTGGTGCAGTTCTAAAGAAAACAAGGATATAAAAAAGGATCTACTCTCAGTGTCCAAAAAGAAAAAACAAAAACAAAGACCTCTATTTGGGATTATCTGTTGCTTTTCAGGCAAGCCTCAGAGTTCTAAAAACTACATGTTTAGCTCTTACACCTAACTGGGAGACCCCATAGAAGAAATGTTACCAGGTAAATAAAGGCTCTGTGGCCTGTTGGGGCTGAAGAAAACAGTCAGATAATAAGCATCAGACTAAAAAACACAGGGCTGACGTCCTCTTCGAATTCCTAGTTGTTTCTTGAAGGCAGTTATTTGCATATTATTTATTTTTAATCTTACAGCTGACAGATTGATTCATAATTAAAACTGTGTCATATGTTTGCCCACCAACTCCCCTCCAAAACAGACTTGGGTAGACTTTTAGGTGCCAGATTGAATCAAAGCCTTTTTAAAAATCTTTTCAAAATATAGAAATGGTCTGAGCTGGAAACTCTTGAAAACAGCTCATGAGCTTTTTAAAAGCTGCTAACTGGGAGCTCCTATCAATCGAGTTATTATATGAGTTCCCACCAGTAATAAAGATGACATTTTCTAGCAGAGATGATCTCAGTGTCAACGAGAAATGAACATCTATCACGCTCTTCGAAGTGCCTTCAAGCAGCCTTTGAACTTGCAAAAATCTGAGATGTACTGTTGCCTCCAAATGTTCTAAAGCAGTGGTTTTCAAACTTTTTTAAGGAATAGAAGCATTTTCTTAACAAAAGATTATGCCGTAAAGCTAGTATAATAAAATAATAATAGTAAACCAACACTATTTAGCACTTGATATGAATCAGGCCCTCTGCAAGCACTTTGATGCATTATCTCATGTAGTTCCTGCAGGAACCCTATGAGGTAGGTATTATTACCAAATTTCTGATCCTAGATGCAGTGTTTCCTAAATTATACCATTTCTGGAATTTGAATGCATACTAGAACTAAGCAGCTGTCTCTCTTCCCTCACCCAGCCCCCAAATGGCAGTTATTAAATGAATTATGTAGCTGCCAATTGATGGTATATTGGAATTAAGAATACACAATGTCATTCCCATTTTACAGACAAAGAAACAGAGACCTGGGAAGTAAGCATCACATAGGTTACCAAGAAGCCAATTTGCAATCTGAAGCCAGTCTGCCAGACTCCAGAGCATATGGTTTAGCCACTGAGAAACGCAGTTACTCTAGCTGAAGTGTGGGTTGGTCGGGGGAGGTCACTCTTCCAGTCCCCCACACATTGGGAGAGGTCCCTAGAGGCTTCTCCACAGAATGCCAGAAGGAAGTAAAGCAAGGATTCAAAGTCACTGTTTCAGAAAAAACAAATTTGAGGGATAAAGAGAGTTTAAAAGTTATAGAAGTCAAGAAAATAATCAAATTCATTCTGCATATTAGCGTATCCTATTGAAAACTAAACTCCTGATTTAAAAAAGGTTGGGAAAGTTGGATTAAAAAGAGACCCAAGAAAACTTTTGAGAGTGGATTGTGTTGTTTATTATTTTGACTATTTTGCTAGTTTCACAGGTGTTCACCCATTTCAAAACTCATGAGGTTACAGTACTCCAATTAAATCTCAAAACAGCTATAAAAAATGTTTAAAAAAATAAGTTCTTATGCCAAAAAGGAGAGAAGAAAACTCCAGATGAAGGATTACCGATATACCCATTTAAAGTATATCCAAGTTTATTTTAGGATAAAATAGTAATATAAAAAGTCACAGTCATAAAATGATCTATATTTTATTCAGTGATCATTCATGAGCATAAACATTTATGACCATATAACCATAAACAAAGTACTCTTGCATAAAATAAGAAACCAAGACAATAAGAAACTAAAAGAGTAAAGCAAAAGAGCAAAGGACTAACTCCTCAAGGAAAGGAGACAGAATATGGAGGAAATCAGCCCACCCCCTCATCCAGCCATTAGCATCAAGAAAACAGATAAAAACTCCATCTGCCAGGTACCTACTAGTCAGTCACATCTCGTGGCCTAACTATTCCACGCTTGGGCATATGCTCATCAACACAAGCGCTTACAGCCACCAAAGGACTTGTACAAGAATGTTTCTTAAAGCGTTATTCATAATGGCAACAATCCAAATGCCCATCAACAGGAGAATGGATAAACAAACTTTACTTCTATTCATCCACCAGAAACACTACACACTGTCATAAAAAAGAACAAATTATTCACAGATGCTACAACATGGATGAACCTCACTAAAAAAGTTACAGCCAAAAGAGCACATCCTCTATGATTCCACTTATATAAAGCTTGAGAACAGGCAAAACTAATCTATGAGACCAGAGGTCAAAACAGTAGTTACCCTTTGGGCAAAGGATGCTGATGAGAAGAGGACATGAGGGAGCCTTCTGGGGGCTGAAAATATTCTGTATCTTGATCTGTGTTGTGGTTACACAGTTGTGGATACACGTAAAAATTTCATGGAGCTGTACCCTTAAGATCAGTGTACTTTATGCACTTTCCTATATGCATTTTATACCTAAATTAAGGGGGAAAGCATACACCATCAGGACTTAATATCCCATTTATGATAGGTAAAGAGGAAAAAAAGAGTTCATTAAAATAACATAAAATAAGTTTGTTGGGGGCAGTTCTAGAAATTCACAGATGCAAATAATACAAATGGATACAAGCTCCCTGAGAACTAAGAAGGTAATAAAGCAATGAAAAGACCACAGAAGAAACTACCCTGAGTAAGGAACCATCCTTATCTTCTGAAAGGGGCCTATTTCAGTCAGTTCTGGTCAAAAACAGACTTTTTGGGTTTCTGTTGACCTTACCCTACTTACGTAACCTACAAAAGATGTTTATCTGCTGATAGAATTTACTTCTCATAATATAAATAACATCTCCCAAAGAGTTGTAGATTTCTAATTTGTATGTTAGGAAGCCAGATTTTGCCTGCTAGGAAGTTAAAATTTCTAGGCCTATGGAAGAACTTGGGCTTTTCTCTCTGCAGCAGCAGCTGGCTGGAGAAACCAGCACCTGGGCAGTCTCTGGCTTGGGAGGGCCTCAGAACCTCCTACAGTGGGGGCAGGTGGGGGATCTGCTATGCGACTTTTATTGCAACTACTGAACCTGTGAGTGGTTCTGCAGTGAGAACTACCTTGTTCATTCCAACTATCCTTCCCAATCATGAAGAATGGTTTAAATTTTTTAAAACTTAAGCTAGCTGGGGTTCAGAAACTGCAAATCAGTTTGACCATATTTCCAAACTGAAGGTTTGTTTCAAAAAATCAGTCACTGATACTGCAAAGAGATGTCCCCTCTTCCTTCTTGGTTTTAGTTTCATGTTATTTTAATCATCTTCAGTTAATACTCACAGTACAGCTGTTACGAAGGGCATCAAATTTGCGCTGGATTTCATCTCTATGCGCCTAAAAGGTAAGAAGTTGATTATAAATTTCTCATAAAGTAGAATACAATTCTAGTGCTATAGGTCAAATAGAGAGAGCAGCAATTTTACCTAGAAAGCCAAGAATGCTGTTGCAGCAGCCTCAGCATCTGTTTTTCCAAGAACTAATAAATCAAGCTATCCCAAACATCAAAAATAAGTCACAGGAATACATGATGCTGCGCTTATAACAATTAACTATTGAGACCACACATGCATACCCTGCACAGATACACTTAACATTTGTATTCATGCCTAGGGACTATAAGAAAAAAAAAAAAGGATGACATTTGTATTCTCCCTCATTTGTCTTACTGTCCATGCTTAATCTTTCCCTCTTCCCTCCAACTGACCCCTCTGTAGCCTCCTCCTGGACAGAAACACATACAGACATACATACAGGACAAAGTAGGAACTTTTTTTTTTTTTAATCAAAAGCTGCTGAGATTCAGAAACCCTACACTGACCTTGAAGTAGATATAAAGGCTTTCTCCAAAGCAGAGCTGCTCTAAAACAGCAGCATTCGTTCAGTTGACAAGAATTTTTTGAGTGCACATTTTATCCCATACACTGTGGTAAGATAGAGTCTGTGTGGCCTATCCCTTCATTTTGGTGGGGGAAGATTGAAAGTTAAAAGGTCCATGATTACACACAGTGACAAATGATATGAATGAAATAAACAGTGTTCAGAATAAAAGAATAATAGGGTGAGGGGAGAAGATAGGAAGGAACTTACTTAGATAGGGTGGTCAAGGAAGGCTTCTCTGAAGAGGTGACACTTAAACTGAAACCTGCAGGATGATTAGGAGCCAGACATGCCAGAAAAATAAAAACAGGAAAAGGCAGAGGGAACAGCCTGTTCAAAAAACTCTTGAGGTAAGAAAGGATTTGGTGCATTTGATTAACAAAAAAAAAGTCCTGAATGGCTAGAACAGAGTTTTTCAAATTTTAAGCTGTGACCCAATGGTGAGTGTGATAAATGAGGCTTGTTTGTTTATTTGGTTTGTTTTATCCAATGAAATGGAATAAATAGGACAGAACAGAAAATATCAAAATGTACCTTGGGTAGTAAAGATAAGCATTGTTCTAGGAAACTTTTGTTTTAAATACCATAATTTGTCAAATTTAAGTTGCTATCAATTTTAACACTTATCACAACTTTATGTAATATTAAGAAAGAAAAGATGCTGTCAAACAATAACATGTTTATGTCTACATGACTATATAATCATATGTTGGCTATGACTGTACAATGCACCCTTGTTTTAGATATCTGATTTTAGAATCCATGAAATACAGTATGTATGCTCCCTTGTATTAGATCACAAGGCAAATTTATCTTCAGTTAGTAGTGGCCCAACAATTTGAGAAAAACACTTGGCTGAAGTATAGCAAGAAAAGGAAAATGTGGTCCAAAATGATAGTAGAGAGGCAGACAGGGACCAAGAATCTTGACAACTCAGAAAAGAGTCTATATTTCAAAAAGCAACTAATGGGAAGCCAATGGAAGTTTTAAGAAGTGGAATGACATGATCTGATTGTCATTTTGGCTACTTATGGGAAGAATAGATCAAAATAGGACAAAGGTAGAAAGAAGTGTGGAAGCCATTGGGGAGATTGTTACTATTATTTAAGGAAGACGTGATGGTGGCTTTCAGTAGGATGGTGGCAAAAGATGGAGAGAAATGGAGATTTCTTTTGGAAATATAAGTAATAAGACTTGCTGATGGACACAGGCCAAAGGAAAGGAGAAGTCCAGGGGTGGGTGCCTTAACAGACTTCTGACTTGAGAAACAGGGTGGATTATGGCACCATAGGCTTAGCTATGAAAGCCCAAAGAAGAATCTAGTTTGCGGCTGTGGGTAAAATTGTAATATTTCCAGAATATCTTGCTTCGCTTTAGTCCTCAGGGGTGGAGAGAAGTATAGGTTTAGTGCATTTGCATATCGATAGGCATTCCTCAGGTGGAGAACAGTTCATTTCCATATCAATAGGTAATTACCTAGGCAATGGAGGGCTTATCTGAATCTGAGAGGTTGGTGGAGTGCTGGTTTTGCTTCTGTTGGAGCAGAAAAAAGAAATGGCCCTGGACTACAGTTTGTAAGCAATAAATGGGTTTTAAACTTTATTTCTCCCTTTGACTGATTTCTGTTCTAGAGGGATTTTGCCCTGGGATTTGCTCTCCCCGGATTTACAGGGCACACGCAAAAGCGGTCCCTCTCTTCAAAAAAAAAAAAAGGGGGTGGGAAAAGTCTATAAAACAACTAAGTCCAACACTCCATCAGAAGATCTATAAGACAACTAAGTCAAAAATTTTAGGACTGTAATGTATTCTCTATTTTGACATAAATTAATATTACAAGTTCATAGCTGTAAATGAGACACTGCAGAAAAAAAGTTTAGCAGACTTAACACAACAGAATCAATCCAAAATCAAAATGAAATATACAACAACAAAAAAACTTACAAAAATGAACAGAGCATCAGTAAGTTGTAAGACAACTTCATGTAGCCTAAGCTACATGTAATTAGAGTCCCTGTAGGGGAGAGACAAAAAATATTTGAAGAAATAATGGCCACAAATTTTCAAAGTTGATGGAAACTAAAACCCACAGATGGAAGAATTTCAATGAACTCCAAAGCATAAAAAACACAAGGTTAAGCTAAATCACATCACAATCAAACCGCTTAAAACTGGCAATAGATGAAAATTTAAAACCAGCCAGAAAGAAAGACAAGTTATGTACAGAGAAACAGAGAGAAGAAAAATTTCTCAACGGGGGGAGGTGAGGGTGGGAAGCAAGCTAGAAGACAATGGAACAAAATCTTTCAAATACTAAAAGAAAAAACAAAAAAACAAAAGCATGTCAAAATAGAATTCTATACCCAGCAAAAATATTTTGCAAAAACAAAAGTAAAATGAAGACTCTTTCAAACATGCAAAAGCAGAAGGGATTTGCCACATGCATTAGAAGAAATGTTAAAAGGAAGGCTTTCAGGCAGAAGGAAATGACAACCAGAAATTTAAATTTATACAAAAGAATGAAGAATAATGGAAAAATGGTAAGACAAAACAAAAATAAGACAGTTGCATAGACAGATACTGTGGATAAAATTGTAACATTTCCAGAATATCTCGCCTGGCTTTAGTACATATGCATATCAACAGGCGCTCAAAGGTGGACGGAAGTATGGCTTTGGTGCATTTGCATCATTCCTCAGGGGTGTGGAGAGAAGTTCATCTACGTATCAATGGGTAATTACCTGGGCAATGGAGGGCTTATCTGTAACTGGGAGTGAGGGGGAGGGCCGCTTTTTGCTTCTGCAGGAGCAGGAAAGAGAAAAGGGTCCAGACTGCAGTCTGTAAGCAATAAGCGGGTTTTAAACTTTATTTCTCCTTTTGACTGACTTCGGTTTTTAGAAGTATTTTGCCCTGGAATTTCCTTTCACTGGACTTACAGACACATCCACAGATTCCTAAATAAAAAGTTATTGTTTAAAATCAACTTCCCACATAATTAGCCCGCATTATTATGGACTAATTTAATAGACTATTATTTTTCCAAAAAAACTGATTGGCTTTTTGCCCAGCAACACTCTGAGAAGTTTACTAATTTAATGGGGCAATACTACTGTACCTCCAGGGGGCAAATATGTTCCCAGCCCAGGGTAAATAACCTTTGAAGCCGAAATCAGGCAAAGGGAGAAATAAAGTGGGAGAAACCTGTTTATTGCTTACAAGCAGTCCTCCACTTCTGTTTGCCCCTGTCTCTCATGACCCGGGTGCAAAAAGGGACCCCACCAAACCTCTCTGGTCCAGACATGCCCTCACTCCCTAACCCTTGTAATCACCTACTGATATGGAGATGGACTACTCTCCACCCCTTGGAAACAACTATTGATATGGAGATGCACTAAGGACAGGCAAGAGATCCTGGAAATACTGCAATTTTACCCACAATTACTATTTATCCAAAGTAGGAACATGGCTATCTGCACCACTGTTGAAATCCGATCTGTGAGCAAGCAACAGTCTGGCCCCAAAGGCTATCCAACCCCTTGAGTGCATTTCACAATCACCAAAGGCAAAAGGCAAAAGGCAAAAGGCCCTTAGTTAATAAACTCTAGAGCAGGAGTGAACAAAAAGAAATTTTTAAGGACCAAACCAGTAAATATTTTGGGGTTTAAGGGCCATTCAGTTTCTGTCACAACTATTCAACTTTGGCCTCATAACACAAACTCAGCCAAACACAATATGGAAACAAATGAGTGTGGCTGTGTTCCAAGTAAAACTTTATTTACACAAAACAGGGGGCAGACTGAACTTGGCCCGCTGGCAGCAGCTTGCCTACCCCTGCTCTAAATGACTGGGAGGAAATCTCTCAAACAGAAAAAGAGGGGGCTGCGGGTGGAGTTAATGCCTTCAAAGCCTAAGCAGTGATCATAAAAACTTCACTGGCCTAGACTTAGGGTAAAGGCCCTATTCTACTTTCTTATTAATAGCAAAGTTTCCAAATCACACCGCACCACCGATAATTTGTTTAACTGCCCCCACTGTAACCTGAAATTTCAACTAATACTGTTTCATTTCCATTAAAATTTGCCATTCTGAGGCCTTTGGATCATTTTGACACATCAAATGGCAATCCTCATTTGAGGGTATAATGTAATGAACTATCATAATTATGGCCCTTGATTTATTATTGATGGTGAAATATTAACACAAAATGTAGAACCGATCCTGTTGTGACTGCTAGAAATACTGTAAGCATTTAACAATTATTGAACTGCTCTGAGTAAGAAAATGTCAAGAAACATCTTATGTTTATTTGAGATAAGCTTATAAAACAAATGCATATAAGTGCAAAAGATCACACAATTATATTTATACACACACACACACACACACAACACACACACACAGGAGGAGAGAGGGAGAGAGAGTAAAGTATATAAGACAATCTTTGGATTCTCTCAATGAAATATTTGAGTGTTAATTAGGTATTAGGTGCCACAGGGAATAAATATTTATACTCTTAAAAATTACTGAGGACCCCAAAGAGCTTTTGATTATGTGGGTTATATCTATATTTACCACATTAGAAATTAAAACTGAGAATTTTTCCCCAAATATTTATTTTTTATTTCTTTTAAAGTAACAGTGCTTTTTGCACCGGTAGTGTAAATGTTAACACAATGAAAAATGCCAAATAACATCTTAGTATTATTATGAAAATAACATGACCCTGGGGACCCCCAGGGATCCTCAGACTCCACTTTAAGAACCACTGACCTAGGGGTTAGGGGGCAGTAAGGCAGAATGGATAGGCTGCACCCTGAAGGCCAAAGAGGCTACCTCTTTGGGGAGTACTTATGTCTTCAATAATTTTAAGGACAGTTACAAGAGGAACAGAGAAAAGAGAATTATAATGCAGCCTTGAAGAGGGAAAATACCTGCAGAGCTGAGCAAAGGCAAGCAGTGTTTAGATGTCTGACCGCCTTCTGGGATCCACGGTTAGAACTCTAGAACACTTGACCTTCCACACATCCACCCTGTTCCCTGGGAAGGCAGGCACCAAACAAGACTGTCACCTCACATGCCCCACTTTCACATCCTGCCTATCATGCCCATGGCTTACTTCAATACAGGGATTGATGTTTATTTAAATAAAAAATGAGAGTGTGTATTGACTAATGATTGTAATAAATCAAAGAGGATGACTCTGGGATCCCATAATCACTCTCTGCCAGGAGAGTTCCTTTCATTAGTGTCTCTAGCTTTAGTCTCTTGATTATTCAGCATTAGTCATTGAACCAAATGAGTAGAAGAACGTGATGACAGGGGCACGAAATATGTGTCGTGAGGCCTTGCCGGTGTACACAGAGCCCACGCCACACCTCTGCCTGGGGCCCCATTCAGAGGGACGCCTACATCACGCCGCACACCAGTGTGTTCTGTACTGAGTCAACAAATTCTCTTCCTGAGACGAAGGGTTCATCATAGAGAGTCTTTAAATATCAAGTCCAGGCAGAAAATTCTCTTTTCCACCAATAAGCACTGAAGCATCTTATCAGCAGGGCTTTTTGTTTAAAACTGACCCTCCTGTTGGTCTCTACCTTGATTCTATCTCTGCTTTTAATGGCCAGTGAATTTCAATGCAAATGTGACTGCCAGGATGGCTGAAGTGAGAGGGGGAAACAGAAGCATGAGCAGGGCCACCACTGCCTTCCCGACGCCCCTGCCAAGCTTCTTCAGAGGGGAGCTGCAGCCCAACTATACACTGTCTCATCTGGCCCCGGGCGGAGGCCAGACAGGGTAATGCTCCCATCCCAGGCTGGGAGATGGCCTCCTCTTAGAATCAAGCAATGGCCCATTTGATTATTCTCTTTTATTGATAAAACAGCCTGCTGTGAAGCTCACAAACCACCTAGGAGATGATTTCAGACGCAGCTGATTGAATATGATTGATGCTGAGTTGGGTCTGAACTTGGGCTTGAACGATGAGTCAGAGTAGTGCATCTGGGAACATTTTCTCTTTCTCTCCGAAAAGACGTCCTTCAGAACAAATTCAACAAAGCCATTCAGGCAACAGCCACATGTGGTCCGTAACCAGCTTTGTGGGATGTAATCAAGAGGGGAGAGAAAAACCGCATGGCCTCAAAACTGAACAGCAGCAAACTGATGAGGGGTTTGGACCCCTGCACGATGGGCTTACAAACAGCTGTTTGCCCGAAGGCACTGTTCTGCCATCATTTTGAACAAGCCCCATTTTCCAAGGCACCTTCATCTCAAGAGGGGTAGAGCCCTAGTTTCTAGACCTAGGGTGGCTTGTTTCATTCTTTTTTTCTTTTAAGAAGATGCTCTGAGGCAGTGATCTCATCTGACTAAATTAAGTCGTGCCTTGCTGCTGTGAAGGCTTCCAGCAGCCATTAGACACAGCACATTCCAACCAGCAGCAAGACAGGATTTAAAGACTCATTTCCCCACAGATAAACAGCAGTGACACATGCTCTATTTTATACTCTCCTCCTTCCAAACAGGCAGGATAAGATGCACAGCCACCACCCCCCCTCCCAGTTCCAACAAAGCAGCCAGATAAATATGCCCTTCTCCTTGGCTTCAGAGTAAAAGGATTTGAGGAATTACCGCAATCCCCCAGGGCAAAAAGACTAGACACAGTTTGGGGCACATAGTGAGGACTCATTAAGTGTGGGTTAAATTACTGATGTCTCCTCTTTCTTTCAGGGCTTGGGTGGTTCTCACAGGGGGAAAATATTAATACTCAATGCATCAAATATAATAGTGGTTGGATTTTCAGGTGTCTCCTTTAGCAACTAAGAACTGCTATCTGGTTGTTTCTCTCCATCCACACAACTCCACAGCAGAGAAACTTTCCTGGCATGCATTCTTATATATTTATGTCCTTCCTACCTCCATTTTTTTCTTCTACAGACTTATTTTCTCCTTGACTTTGCTTTCGTGTTTTATTCTGTTATACTGTTTGGTATCTTTCCAAACTGCTTTCAATCCATTTGAAACAAGGCAGAGTATAAAGAGATATCATGACTATTTTTTTCTAAGCCAAAAATTGGGGGCACATGGCATCATTTAATGAGTGTTCTCATAGAGGCCATGGAAATTAAGGTTGCAATCAGTATATGAATTTGGCAAAAGTCCTGGAAAATCTAGACGCACAAGCACCTTCTGTAGGAGCACTCTACCACCAGAATCCTGGAAGCCCTTGTGTCCCTGTCTTGGCACTATGTTCCCAATTTGGTCCAGATAATGGGCTCCCTAAACCCCACAATGAGAGATAACTTCTAAAAGAATGAAATTAGTTTCTTTTAAAAGAACCTACACACATTACTTTTATATTGGGTATATCATAAGCAATAAATGTACATGGCCATCTGTAGAAGTAACCCACTCTAAGAGATGTTTAGCAATGTTCTCTGATGGAGATGGGGACAGCATCCAACATGAATCAGATGAGCAAGGCACCCACTTAGGTGCCTTGTTTGAAAAACACTAACCCCAATCAGCCGCATTGTACCCTGCCCACGGAAAAGGGCACTCTGACCAGCAGGTGTGAGGTGCCCCTCTGCTTGGCAAGGACAGTCCGTTACTATTAGAAATACTTGTGCTTGGTTGATACCAGCCATTAAACCCCTTCAGCTTCCTATATTGAGTCCAGTCCACCAAGCAGCCTTCCAAGAGAAATGGCATTGCTAAGTAGACTTTTCCAGAGGGGAAAATGTGAAGATTAGCTACCCAGAGTGTCCTAGTCAGCTTGGAGGTTGTATTTCCCACTGTATGTTGTTAAGGTGACATTTTATATTTAAGAGTCTGTCACTTTTGTTAGCCTGGGTCAGTCCCTGTGAGAAGGATCAACCATGGGAAATGTCATATTTTTAGACTTCCAGAAAGAACTAAGGTCTAAATACAGTGACCATTCCCCTCCCCAAATTCTACCTCCTAAGAAAACTCTTCAGTTGAGCAACCTAGTCTCTCAGAAAGAACAGGGAAACCAGGTCCCTTTTAGGAACTCTCTCATTCAGAAGAATCTTTTCCATCCAGAACATTACCAGATGCGCACATAAGACTTAAGTACAATGTACAGCTTTAAAACAAAAAGTAACACGAACGAGGTTAACCAAAACACAAAACAGAAATATGGTAGAAAAACACACAATAATTTTTTTTTTTGAATCTTTACTGAAAACTAAAGTAGAAGACCCAGGTAAACAGACTTCGGCTGAAACTGAAATTTAAAATATAACGATGATTATCTTAAAAAGAGGGAAGACACATAAATAAAGGAGGAACTTTTCAAGATATTAGGGAAAGCTCAGATATCACTCATTTATCTAGTATGTTAATTCCAATGAGGGAGAAGCCCATCTAAGCCAATTTTCTGCCCTTTAAATATCTGTACGGATCATTTTCTGTCTCGGAATTTCTAAGAGTGAGCGAACACCCTCAGCACCACACTCCTGCTAGCCGAGGCCTTCGGCAACCTGAAGGTGCCATTCCCAGACCTACCGTGAGCGCCTGGATCTCTTCTTCTGCCTCTGCTGTCGTCTCTTCCAACTCCGTCTTTGCCTGGCGAAGCTGGCTCTCCAGGGCCGCCCGGGCAGCCTGCAGGGCGCTCAGCTGGGACTCACGCTCTTGCAGGGAGAGCTGCAGCTCTGTGAGCTGGCGCTTCAGCTCCAGTTTCTGCTCCTCGTGCTCGAGACTAACCTGACGTGGGTGGAGGGGGAAGCGGGGGCAGGGGGCAGAGAGAAAGGCATGGTTGACCTTAACCGAAGAGAAGCCAGACATGAGCTGTAGCTTAGATTTGGTCATGGAATCAAGTTCTCAGCACTCAACCAGGAGGGGAAAAAAATGCCGGTAAGACAGGTCTGAGTCCCCAAAACCGACAGGAGTGAGAACTTGTAGGAGAATGGGTATACAACCCATCCCTTACTTATATTCAAATGCTTGAGAAGACCTCAAAAGAAAAAATACACAGCAAGAATCTCGAATGAAAGTTATGACAATTACTCTCATTAGAAAAGTATTTAGAAGAAAATGGATATAAGTAACATTATATTAGTGACATGGACATCTTTATAACTAGAATACAAACAACAACAGACTGAATTCTCTTTGTTTTTAATATTCTTGCTCTGATTTGTTCTCATTAGATAATGACCTATATTAATATCACATTACAAAGTAATCGTTCCTTCCATCTGCCCATCTAACCTTCTGTCGACTCAATGTTTCATTCATTCATTTAATAAAAATTTACTCAGCAACTTCTGTTTACAAAGGAATAGAGATATGAAAAAGCATCTCTGCCTTCAAGTTGGGGAGAAAAAAACAAAAACCAACCATTACCATATATTGTGGTCATGTGTGATGGTCAGGAAATATAGGGATGTGGTAGGCAGGTAGGCAGGGAGTAAAGGAAACAACTCAAGATCTGTTTATTGGAGAATTTACAAGAGCCAAGCAAGCAGATAAAAGGAACCTCCTAGCAGTGAGACCAAGATGTCCAAAGGCATGAAGATGAGGGACACCACAGACTGCTCCTGACCTCACAAGCACCAACAAGGTTGTCCCGGGGATCAGACCCTGTGTCGGACTTTGAGGATGCCACTCAAGAGAAGCTTGCAGCCCTCAGAGAGCTCACTGTCTAACAGGGGCAGCCGAGAGATACATAGGATGATGAGCAAGCTCAACATGACAGGCCGTGGGGACACAAAGGAGACATCCCGCCCAGCTTCAGAGGGTCAGAGAGGGCTCCCCGGAAAAGGTGACCCCCGAGTCCCAGAGGCTGTGGGGTGAAGGGAAGAAAGACAAAAGACATCCTAGAGAACTAATAGGATTCAGTGGTTGATTAGAGGGCTGGGCAGGGAACAAATGAGAGGGGAGTCCAAGGCGACACCCACGTTGCTGGGCAGGTGACCTACACAGAGTGAGACCCAGGCCACAGCAGGGAACAAGGGAGCAAGAGCCAGTCCGAGGAGAAGGATAAGAAGTTCAGTCTTGACATGTTGAACCTGAGCTGCAAGGGAAACATCTGAGTGAAGACATCTAACATGTACTAAGACAATGGGTCAGAAACCCAAGGGAAGGGTGTGGGTTGGTAGTCTAGATCCAGGAATCCTAACGAGTCAGGGGCAGATGATGACGACAATGATGACAGTGGCGATGGTGGTAATGTACTGCTCACTCGAAAATGCTAGGCAGGCACTGTCTAACTGATAATAACACAGGCCAGAGGGACTATCATTATCCCCATTTTGCAGATAAGGCAAACTGAGGCACTGAGAGATTAACTGAGCAAATGTCACAGAGCTTAAAAAAAAAATGGCAGGGCTGGCTTTGACCCCAGGAAGTCTGGCTCAAGAGTCCACTACTCAGTTTGTCTTATTAAAATGCCAGCAGTCAGAGTAGGCTGTGATTCTGCCAGCACACCTGCAAATTCCCCCAATGCCACCTGGCAAAACCATGAGTGGCGGGTGACAGACAGTCAAGTGGAGGTGGGTGAGCAGGATGCTGTGCAATGACAGGAGAACCCAACAGCCCTGCCCCTTCACGACTCCATGCAGTTTAGCTAAAGAGCTAAATGGCGCACACGATGGGGGAGCCAGGGCCCTTTACGGTGGAACAAACCCGAGGCTGAGCCTCTGCCCCCAATCTCAATAGCAGCAGGTGGCAGGGACAAGGTGGACCCCACTTGTTATATTTGAAGCTAAGCTCCAAAACTCCCAGGCAGTGTCTACAGCCCTAAGCCTCTTACTTAGTTCTAAATTCCTCTCCATTCTTTGGGGGCTATCTTTACTGACTCAAGAAGAAAGCAACTTGGGTCACTGTGATTTCCCAGGTGAGCGCCAGCCATAGAGCTGGCTCTGTGAGAGAGTATTTGTGGAAAGGGAAGGCAAAAGACAGCAGTGCACGTTCCCGCACTCAAAGAAATCTGAGTTACTTACACTCACACTCCTAAGGCTGACACTACAGAGAAATTTCGGTAAACGTACAGAAGAGTAAACATACAGCCTGGATGACAAAAGTTAAACCACCACTTAAGGCTTTTGGACAACCCAAAACAACTGCAGGGAGTCTCAGGGTCACCTGGGGAGCTTGTTAAAAATGCCATTCTCTGCTCCTCCCTCTACCCCTGTTCCACTAAAAAAAGCTGAGGGAGTCCAGGGCCTGGGAATCTGCATTTCAACAGACATGCCAGATGATCCTAATGGAGGGGTCTACACAGGGACCAGGCCTGCAAAACACAGGATAATACATCTTCTCTCGTTTGGAGAACAGGACTCATTTTAATAGTCCAGTACAAATTACAACAAGCCCAATGTGAATATTCCCCAAGTTCAGCCCTCAGACTTCTGTGTGCTTAAGTCTTTCCCTTAAGAGAGATTATCTACTGTTTGAAGATCTCCATCACAAATATTTGAGTACCTACTATGCTCAGGCCACTGCCTCCACTCCCATCTGTGATGTCCCCCTTCCAATGACCACTCTCCTGAACTCCAGTTCTCTAACCCTGCCTGCTAGGGTGACAACCTCCAAGATCAGGGACTGGGTCTGTCTTGTCACTGCTGCATATCCAGGCTACTCGACTGGCACATAAGCAGGCATTTGAAAAATACACAGTGCGTGAGTACCTGAATGTAACTTCACAGCCTCAACCAACCTCAACATGTCTGCAATCACATGTGCTGAATTTTCCTCCCAAAAACATGGCTACCCTTCCCTGCTTCCTTATATCTCTGGAGAGAACCACCTCCCATCAAACAAACAGAAAATTTACATTTGTCTTTTAATCTTACACTGTCACTATGAGACCTCTACCACTGTCACCAAACCATACTATGTACCCAACTCATGCGAAACCCCAAGCACGGATTCAAGTCATGTGACCCTTTCCAAATCAGGATGGAGCAATCACTCTGCCCCATTTGAGAGATATACCAATTTACATAATACCCACATGACCCCAGGAGGGAACAGTATCCGGGCCATTTGATATATGAGGAAATGAAGCTCAGAGAAAAGATAGCCGGCCTGAGGTTCCAAACACCTAAGTGGAGACAAATTCTAAACAGATCCCCACAGCCCACTATGCACAATGTTTCTCATGGTGTACTTATGTGTGTTTGCCGCCTTTCTGGTTTGGGGCCCTGAGTCCCCAACAAATCCTCTTAGGAGGTTCCCCTCACTCTCACCTCCCTCAACCTTGTCTCCAGCTCCAGCAGCCGATTCTTATCGCTGTGGTCTTGGTGGCTGATTTTTTCCAGCTGCTCCTCCAGCTTTCGGTTCTGGGCCTCCAATTTCCCGGCCTGCGTCTCCAGGTAAAACTTCTGTTGCCTGAGTTCTGAAATCATCTCTTCTTGGGCCTTCCTGGTGGGGGTGGTAGAAGGAGCCAAGCAAAGTCACAGTCTCATTAGAAGTGAGCACGTCCCCTCCGAAGGACACACAGAAACAGCAAGAGATATGTCTTCATAAGTGGGCCACAGCCATTCCCAGGTTAGCTCTGTCCTGCCCCAGCCCTGTGTGCATGATCCCAGCATGGGGACCTGAGGCCACTTAGTCTTCACTGCTGAGTCAAGGGGGATGGACTTAAGTATAGTCAAGGGGGATGCAAGAGATACGAACACTTTACTCCTTTGGTAGCTCTTTTACCTCTGAGTCTCTATAGCATAGCAGAAAGGGACCTCCTGAGAGGACAGGAGTGCCCTACCTTAAGGTGGACCCTGGAGAAGAAAGGGTGATGAGAAAGATTACCATTCCTTCCACTTTTCTGTAGGCCCTTCTCAGCTTCCCAGCAGACTGCTCAGAGGTATCAGCAACTGGAATGACTCAGGGTCAGGAAGCTGCCTACCAAGCTGGTTTATACAAAGATGCAAATGTTTTACAAGAGCTCTGAAGAGAGATATCTGAGGGGAAAAATAATTCCTGGAGATCATAATTCTTTGGGGGAAGAGGTTAATCTCAAAGTGCTCCAGGAACGTGGAAAGTTCTTACTAAACCCCAAACTTCATCTCCCAGGGCCTATCTTAACAACAGCAAAATGGATGGCTCAGTTGGGCACATACAAGATCACCTCTGGCTAATTACAGAAGGCAGGTCTGGGGAACATGGACGGCAGCTTTCCAAAAGCAAACTATAAATAGCCTCATTAGAGACAGCCAAACACTCTGTAATCTGATGGCAATTTGAAGCCTTTAAGAAAACCCAGTTCAAAAGAGAGGACACAGTAGAGTGAGACTACTTAAGAAAGGGCAAAATTACGTAAGTGTAAAGGGTGGTGGGTCAGGGCCGAACGACAGAGGTACTTGAATCAGCTCCAGCTCCATCAAAAGAAGAACCGAGTTTATGCCCGGAGACAGAGAAGACCAAAGTGTAATCACGCACATCATTAGCATTTGTATACTTACATGTTCCTCTGCGTAAAAAGACTGCTGTTTGCTGCAAGTTTATTGGCTTCTGACAGTTCAACGATCCTCTGTTCCAGGGATCGGATCTTAGAATCCATAGCATTGATCATCTGAAATACAGGGGATCTTTGAAACCTCACACATAGGCAGTTCTACCAAAATGAGAGTACAGCAGACCATGTGGGCCGGGCCAAAAGTGTCGCCAGCAATCGGACCAAAGGTGACAAGGGACTCAACTAGCCTGCACCCTGAGGATCACAGACCTTACTACTGCTCAAGCGGATGGCATGCAGTTGTTTTATCAGAGATTATAAAGCCCCGACCTGAGCTAAGTGGCTTGCATTATTAACAACACGCCGAAGGACTCATTCAGGAGCCCGGCATTCTGAGTAAGCAGGCCTTGTTAGATCCCTGCGCCCTCGGCATGTGACGTGAGCCTGCAGGAGCCTCTAACTTGAATCTGCAAGTTCGTATTTCTTATCACCCATGGGGTTGTCATTTTTTGAGTGATTTCTTTGTACCCAACCATTACCATCCTAGACTCTCTATATTAAAGTGTCCCCAACTTAATGAATCATAAGAATTAGGGCAGGGAGTGGGAGGTGCTGGTTAAAAAGATTAACTTCCCAGGACCCTCTCCTAGAGATTCCGATGTGGGAATCTCCATGGGTCTGAGATCATACGTAGAGTAACAAGCACCTGAGGTTACAGAACTATTGGCCCACATAGATTAGGAAGGATTGAAGCAAGTGAGTAGGAAAAAGACACCAGGAGGGAAACAGAGAGCCACTGGGTATTTTGTCAGGGAGCATTTTGAAGGACAGCGTTCTCATTGATGACAGATCAGCATCAGTTCTTAAAGAAGAGCATGAAATGCAAAATTGGCCACCTGAGTCACCACCACCTACCTTTCGGAGGGGAAGGAGCTGCACAGAGTGCATTCTGTTAGCAACAGCAGCAAGATTAAGCAAAGAATAATTCACCACATAAGATGGACTCTTAGGAGTGTGATTCCTGGCATGTTTGGCAAACGTTCCTTTGAATCCCAGCTTTGCGATTCCTTATACCTACCGCCTTCTGCTCGCTGAGAATTTTGCCCTTCTCATGGGCCTCCTCTTCGTGTCTCTGCATCAGATTCTCCAGACTCTCCTTATCAGCCAGGTCTTTCTTTATCTGGTTGTCCAACACCTACGGGAAACAAAAGAAGAATTAGTGTTCTGAGTAGCAAAGGAGGACAGAGAAGACCAACCTGGGCCCCTGAAGAAAGTGGGAAAAGGAGGAAAGGAGGGGATATGCCGTGAAGAGGCCAAGAAAACTCTGGGGCAAACAGAGGGGCTGGGAGTCTCTTTCTCAGCTAAGCTGAGGTTAAGGAGTCAAGTATTACTATCAAATGGCAAGCAACCAGTGGGCTTGCACTTATTTTAAAATCAGCTGCCAAAAAGACCCGAGAGATATATCCGAAGTGGACATAGACTCCAAAACGAGAGGGGCAGAAAAGCCCTCTCTCCTGTTCATATACTGTGCAGACATTACCTGAAGACAAGGCAGCAGTTCTCAGAACATTCGCTTCTCTTAATTTGTACAAGATTAATCTAGGTATCTCCAGGCTATGTGCAGAGAGACAGAAAGCTAAATACAGAGGAAGTCTGTGACCAAGGCTTATGTTCGGAAACAGCCAGGGACAAGAGAATTCTGCCCACCAGTAAAGTAGGTGGAGAGTCAATAGATTGAAAAGACATCAAAGATAGAAAAAAAAAAATGCCTCTTTCTCCATTCCTTCCTCTGATGCAACTGGAAAAAAAGTCACTGGAAAGACAAACCTTTCCCAGGGGTAGAGGAATCATGTGTTCTCAGTGCTGAGAACACCACCAGAAGCACCTACTGTTTCTAAGAGGAAAAAATAAAACAGTAATGGTGTCACCATCCACCAGCTTGATCTAATGTTCTGTGAGGCACACACAGACCTGCCAGTTGCCAAAACAAGCAAAAAAGATGGGAAAAAAGGGAGACGACATCACAACTTGTCCAAGCCTTTGACCACAACCCTGTGTTGCTCATCACAGAGAATCCACTCTGCTTTTCTGAATGACACCAACGGCATCTGATATTGGGAAGAAAGCTGAAAGAACTGGGGTCACAGATGGGTTTGAAATCCCACAATGTCTATTGTGAAAGGACCTTCAGAGCTATGGGAACATTGTCCCCAAAAAGAGCCAGTCAGCAGGGAGGGGGCCCACATGATAAAGCAAGGGAAGAACAGATTTCAAAGAGGGCTTTCAACTAGAACAGACTGATGAAAAAATAGACTGGGAGTTGGTGGAGAAGAACAAAAGGTGGAAGACAGGGTCATGGGCGGAGGGAAGAAGCTCAACAGGATGAGTGGCCCATTCTCTTGAATGTTGGGGCGTGATTCTAAAATTATGACCACGAAAAGGACAGAATCTAGGGTATGGTCAGAGTTATTACTGAAATGGATGTACAGAGGCCAGAACTGGAAACACCAAGCAGAACAGGCTAAAAAGAAATGAGTTTGTAAAGATTCCATAGGGAAAACAGAACAAACAGGCCTTCCCCTAACATTCCCTAGGATCTATTACACAAAGTTCTTCCCATCTAGAAGGTGGCTAAGACCACATAATATCTAGAACAGGTATGCTTCTTTTTTATGAGGTGCTAAAGCAACGAAGCACAGTTTCAGGACGACGGCCCAAAATAAGACCTCAACTTTGGTAGTGTGGGATACCAGCAACAGGTACAGTGGAACAAGCCTCCGCCAAGAATACACGCACCTTGGCTTTGATAGGGTTAGACTGGAAGAAGGATGGACAAGAAGCACGGGTTGGAGTGGGGGGAGGGGGGAGGCAAGAAATTTGTTCGACATGAGAGGTTCCACTGTAGATGTTTATATCAATTTAAGACAAAGCATGGCTTTTGGACAGGAAAGTCAATGTACTCACCTAAATTACAGAATGAATTTTACAAAGGGTTATTTTCATCACACAAAGGTGCCAGTGGACTACTAGACGCAGTCTCATAACTTTCTGAAAGTTAATTTATTCCAAAGATAGAAGTCAAGAATTCAAATCAGAAGGATTAGAATATAAAGTTGAAAATGCACTAAAATAGGGGTTCACACTAAAACGCTTTGAAGTCACTTCTGAGTTATTTTCCTATATTTCTTTTAATGAATAACCAAAAGCAACACCAGGGGTAAAAGAAAAAGAATGAAGGTGCCAGGATAGTGATGGTGATGGTGCTATGTGAGCATGTACCTGTTTGTTTCTCCAAAAAAGAAACAGCCAACTCTTTAAGATACCAACCAAATAACAGGATCATCACAAAAATTAAAAGCCTCCTTCAGTGTCTGACTCGGGAAGGGAAGAGACAATATTTGAGATGCAATGATGAATAATTCTCAAGAACATAGGAGCTAAAGGCTTGATCCAAAATTATAATGAAAATGTGATGTGATTTTAAAAGGAAATAGATAGGCTGGCATCCACTTCTGAAAACTATTATTACTATAATAATAATATCATCATTAATAGTAATTGAAATAATAACATTAGTAATTGAGTTTATTATTTTATATGGTGGGCTAGATTATTCAGGTCAGCATTTCTATAGAAAGTGATTTAAAATGCTAGATTAAAATACAGAAAACATTTTCCCAAAAGTTGGCAAAAGAGTAAGAAATTACAGATTAAAATCTAAGTGAAAGCAGGAACCCAGACACAAAGCTTTTTTTAACTTGAGGCCTTTGCTGAACCAAATAAACTTGAGCTTCACTTTTAATAATCTTGAAGGATAAGAGAGAATTCAAAGCCCAGGGCCACCCCTGCAAGGTGGGCATACATTTTCATTCAAGGCCTCAAAGAATTCCCATTAAAATTTTTCCACAGAAAAGGAGCAGCTGACCAAGCCCACAAGGAGAGAGGCACCATGAAAAAGAACCAAGAGAAACAACAGAGTAGAAACAGAACGTCAGATACCTCAGATATCAGAATTAACAGATACAGATCATAAAACAACCATGTTAAAGCATTTAAAGAAATAAAAGACAAGCTCAAAACAGAATGCAGGGAATAGAAAATTATTGTTACAAATAACAGAAAACTTTGGAAAGAACCATAGAATGTCTAGGAACAAGAAATACAATAACTGAAATCTGAAACTCAGTGGGTGGGTTTAACAGCAGATTAGATAGGCAAGAATTAGTAAACTGGAAAATTACTCAGAACTTACCCAGAATGTTACACTGAGAGATGAAGATGGAAAATATGAAAAAGGAATAAATTGAAGGTGATCTAACACACACCTAATCAAATTCTCAAAAGGGAAGGAAAGAGGGAAGGGAAAGAGATAATACTTGAGATAGAGGGACCAGTAATTTTCCAGAATTAGTTAAAAAAAAAAAACCAAAGCAAAAAAAAATCTTATATATCTCTCAAGCAGGATAAATAAAAATAAATCCACATCTAGACACATCACAGTAAAACTTCAGAAAATTAAAGACAAAGCAAAAATTTTAAAGCAGCCAAAGAAAAAACATAGATCACTTTCAAAGAAAGCAACAGTTAGACTGACAACTGACTTCTCAATCACAATAATAAAAGCCGAAAGTCAATGGAAGGATATCTTCAAAGCATATAATAAGAAACAGTTGCCAGCTCAGAATTCTATCCCCACTCAATACATCTTTCAAGAAAGAGGGTAAAACAAAGACATTTTCAGACAAACAGAACAGAAAGCCTGTCACCAGCAGATATTCTCTAAAGAAAATCCTCAAGGATAGACTTTAAAAAGGAAAAGGGTCCCAGGTCTGAGATGCAGGAAAGAAATTAAAAGCAAAGAATGTGGTGAGCCTGCAGCTAAATCTAAATTATCATGGGCTGAATGACAAGTTGATTGAAAAATATTTTAAAGATGGAATCAAAATACATGACAACCAAATTTTAAAAAGAAAAAGACTTTCAACTTCAGATATCCAAGCCCCCCTTGAGTAATACCTTAAAAGCTTCCACATGGCCTGAGGACAGCATTTACCCAAAAAGTCTTTTGGTCTAGCAAGAAGTGGCCCAAAGCATTCAGGAAGAGAGAAGACATGTGGCGCTATACAGAAAGAATGCCAGGGGCAATGGGAAAGTGTCTTTACTTTAATTTTTTCCTCATAGTGCTGCTCCTTCTGTTTCAGGTGCACCTCCAGGTGCTGGGCTGAGACCTGGGCCTCCCGATGCTTCTCCTCCAGCTCCTAGACACAAAAGAACAGGCGTTCAGCTGTGCAAAGGGAAAGATAAAGTCAATGTATGTTAGACATTCACAGGAAACATGACTTTTGCATGACAGGCAGCACAGGTAACTGGCATCTGTTTCTTCCTTACGTGCCCTAAGGCTCCTGGGAAGGAAACTGCCACCAATCCTTGGCCCTGGGTTTTCCAAGTCCAAGTATTCACACACATACACACACAGCTGGTGGGCTGGGGTCAGAAATCTGTTGATGTGACAGGTCAAACAAACACGTTTCATCTCTGCACGGAGAAATACAAGTAACAAGGCAACATACTAAAGTTCAGTACAGCACAAAGCCTCTGACCACTATCATAAGCCTCAGGCCATTCTCACTGGTATGACACCTTTAAATGTGAAAAGTAATTCTAATTTATTTTACATTTAAAGTTAACTTATTATTGTGAGAAAGAATATTTTGCAATTTCCTCTAATAAAATGATTGCTCAAGAACCCTAGCTAAGGAGGAAAATTAATGTTGCAACTCATATGTTTTGAGGTTTGAATATGTGAGGAATGTGAATATGTGATGTTTGTATAATACCACGTTTATCTGATAGAATGCTAAAGGGAACAAAGTAGACATAAAATATACTGATAATAATGACACAAATATGTATGCATATGCATTAAAAATGGGAAAATAATCTAGAGTAAATAGCTCAGATTTAATGTTCTTTTCGTTAAGATTTATGCTTTTGGACAAAATTGCAATTCATTTGAAAAATAATACTGATTCATTGGCCTGTGTATTATAAACTGATCTTATAAAAGGCAGCATTCAATTCAATGAAACAATCTGCATTAATCTTTATGAATCTGGACCCATTAGTGAATTACTAAGATCAAAAGTCATTGCTTCAAGTTTTCATCTTTTCACATGATTATGAAATATTTCTTTGAAGTGGACGTAATTGTGAGAATTTTGAAGAATGAGGAAATTATACAGGATATGTCCATAAAATGGGGAAAAAAATACCCTCAGATTCACATGCAGATAGAATGCTACTGATTAAGCTTTCAAAATTCTAAAGTCTGCAAGCATTGACTCTGCCATGGGGGCCAGTAAAGTGTTCAATTTTAAGACCAGGTGCACAAGATCTATTGCAATCTCACAGATATGATCCTTCAAAAGTTTAATGTAAACAGGATTTTACTTAACAAAAACATACTTTAAGGGCTTTGTGTGTACTAGAAGATCCCCTGCAATGACTTCTTTTATTAAAGCAAAAGACTGCTATAATGAGAACCCCAATTATCTGTTTTGAAAGGTCTTATCAGAATAGCAAATATTTTAAAGCAAATGACATCCTGGGATGTGCTTCCAAGCATCATCATTATATAACAGTATTAAGGACCACCATGCCCATGCCCTGGATACTTCACAGCCTCAGCACAGGGTTCTTGAGCAAAAGGCACCTTCCGATAAATGAAGTTACAATGACAAAAGTATTTGGGCAGGTGGTGAGACACATTCGGACAAAGAAACCTGTTTTTCTTTATTAGAAATCACGTGATAATTATCTCTTCTTAGCATCGGTCCATATAAGATAGGACAAGAATGGAAATAAGAATCTAAAAATGGGTCAAAAACTGAAATGCCTGAGACTGACAACATTAAGACCAAACTTCTGGTCTATATGTGAATGGGAGTTTACAATATATAATTTAAGATTGCAGAGCTCTATACCCCTACATTTTTCATTGCAAGTGAACCTTTGGAAACGCAGAGATTCTAAAACCTGAGTCCTTAGTAGTTTGGCATTTTTTGTTGTTGTCATTTTTTTAAACTTTATCTTTTCTGCATGTATTGGATCAAACTCATCAGTCCTGTTACACAAACGTTGTTTGCTGCTACCTTTCCAGCTCCTAGAACAGTGCTTGGCACATAGTAGAAGCTCATTAAATATTTGTTGAATGAATGAATGAACACATCACCATCAAACAGAGGAACACTTTGCAACAAGAGACTTAACCACTTCGTTTGCACCAAGCAAGGGATAGTGTTGGTGGGATCTAATTTTACTCACGATAAAATTCACACACTTGACAGTCGCCAAGAGAAACTTTGATGACAGCACAAGAGAACAGAGAGAGCAGACTAACAGTCATATTTGCCTTTGTGTGCAGACGTTTGTATGAAGACTGTGTGTGAAAGCAAAACAATTTAACCAATTTTTCTTTCACCTTTTTACTCAAGAGCATCTATACACTTGTAAATACAGAAAAACAGAAATGTAATGTTTTGAAGGGTTTTCTTCCTTTAAGTATTAAGTACAGACCTATAAGTTGGCCACTCTTAAGTTCATACAGTTGCTGCTGACTCATTTCCCAGAATCGATGCAGAGAGAGAAAAAGAGAGATGAAGTGGACTGCTCACTACCTCGCCTCCTTGTAGTGGAGAGGAACAACTACTCTAGAATCTCTTCTGGGGGCAGGGGAGGAGGAGGTTACGACTCCAAGTCATCTCCAAGTCTACCACATGTGGCATCGAACTCCTGGCTTTGGGACTGAGATCTCAGGAGAGGCCTTCAAAGGTTCCTCTGCCTTCCACCCTGTAAGAAGCAAAACTTCAACACATCTGCAAGTATACCCTGAGCCTCTCTTGGTTAAGCTAATTTTGTCATCTGAGCCAAAAACAGAATCACTATGATTACAAACCTAAAAAAAAAAATCCCTGCTACATTTAAGGAAATTGGAAATAATAATAATAATAATAACAATAGCCAACTGCAGTGGAGAGAGTGAGTGGGTGAACATGGACCTATGACAAATACTACTCTGAGAAAAACAATTCTGCATGGCCAATTTCTTCTCTAAAAGCAAGAATCTGAGTTTCAGTCTAAAAGGTCTAAATCCCTACAGCTTTTGAAATTGGCATTGCAAAGTTAACAGCCATACAAAACTGTTAATAGAAGTACTTGTGCATTCCTGTAAAAATGTGTCAGAAATGACAGAGTAGGCACGTGCATATTTTAAAATGTCAGGTAGTACCAAACAGAGCAAAAAATCGTATTTATGGATCTGTTACCAGTGCTGAAATGTCCAATATGTGGTTATTCCTGCTATCCTATGATGTGGCTGAAACCACTCCTATTAATGCACCTACTCGTCCATACCTCCCCTGTGACGGTGTCTTGGTGTTTCATTCTTCTCTTGAACCCCCTTCCCTCTGCAACCTCTAACCTGTTATCTTGTAACTTTTCAACTTTTGTTCCTGCTCACCAGAATTTTATCAGCCATCTGCTGGATCTGTTGGGATTTTGTCTGGATGTCATCCTTCAGTCTGTTTTCTCTACGCTCCATGGTCTCTAGCCTCTTTACCTTGTTCTCCAGAGAATGGCGGCGTTCCTGTAGATCGTGAATCAATCAGAGAGTTTTAATGGAGTAACCGCTATGGGCGTTAACGCCTGCACCGAGGGAGAGAGCCCTCAAGAAGCATATGCTCCAGGCAGGGACAGAAGTCTCAGGCACCTTAAGCAACCGTGGAGAAAAATAAGGCTCTACAATTCCAGGACTCAGATGTGTAGGTTACAAGAGTGCATTCATTCATTCAAATATTTATCAAGCACCTACTATCTGCAAAGTGTCACGCAGAAGATAACCAAGAAGGAAGCCGACATAATTCCTGTTCTTGAAAAAGATAAGACAGACACAAATAAATAGAGGTTAAGAGAGGGAAGAGCCCTAAAGAAAAGGTAACAGAGTGCTGTAGGAGGTTGCAGGCAGGAAAGAGGCTGTTCTACTGACAGCTGAGGCGGAGGAGTCTCAGAGAAGTGAGCTGCGGACAGGGACAGGGCTGGGGAATGGAGGGCTGTTCTGGGGAGGGCAGAAGGCCTTTCAAGAAAAGCAGGTGCATTAGCAGCAGCATCACGGAGGTAGGGAGCCAGTTTAGGCCCCAGGTGAAGCCAGGAGTGGCTACAGCATAAGATGCATTAGTGTGAGGAGTAGGAGAAAAGGTGGAACGGGAGCATTTGTGGGTCAAATGGTTGAGTGTCACGTACTAGGCTCAGGGGCACACCTAAGATGCATGGAGGTTCTGAAAGGTAGGTGGGGCCAGGGGTGCTGACAAGAGGCCTGTGAGTCCTTACATTGCTTTGGGCTGGCTGGGAGGAAGGAGAGACTGCTGTTTGGCCAAGCAACTACTACACGTGCTCAACTAAGAGGAAGCAGGCCTGGATTAGGAGAAGGCCTACAGAAATGATAAACAGGGGATGAATGGGGGAGACCACGTGGCCATATTTATAGGACTGAGTAACTCCGCGAGTGGCAGGATCCAAGGAGAAGCAGATGATGCCAAGGTTTCAAGCCTGGGACAACCAGATGAATGATGGTGGCCCTGGCCCATAGGAGGAGACGGCGACGCGACCCCAGCTTGTGGGAGAAGATACTGAGTTCTTCCTAGACTGGAAGCACTGTCCAGATACCCTGCCCAGCTGTCAGTGGGACACTGGAACATGGGCGAGGATGGCCCCAAAGAGACGTGAAAGGAGGCCACGCAGCGCAGCGCCAGGGGAAGCAGAGGCCCGGCAGCTGGGGATGACCGGCCGCGGCGCCGCAATCCCTTCCGCGGACAATCGCCACGGTGCCGGGGAGGCGGCAGGGAGTGGACGGGAGGTGCCGCCTTTTACTCTATATTCCTCAGTATCGCTTCAGTTCTTACAGTGAAAAGACACATGTATTTCCTGTGTAATCACACAACAGAAGCTCAACAACAACAAAGAATTTGAGGGAGAGAAAAGGCCCCTGAACGCAGGTCGGGCGTTGCGGGCTCGGGTGAGAGCCGAGCCTTGATAACTGGCGCTGCTAATCCCGCGGGGAGAAGACAGGGCAAACCAGGGTGCCCAGGAAGAGAAAGAACATCGGGATGGTACACAGTCCGTCTGCATAAACACAGAGCCTCCCAGACTGGTGAGCGGGTCAGAGGACAACCGGCACAAAGGAAAAGCTACATCATAACTTCTACTTGAATCTGCTGCAACAAGTCTTGTTCCCACTTTGGGGAAAAGGTTTACAAGCCCCTCAAGTTTCAAAGGCATTTGCAGAAAGAAAACGGTTTGGTCAAACATACGCAAGGTGTGGATTTGCGGTTTCTTTCCCTCGGCCCAGCGAAAGGCAGGTCGCAGTCACTCACAGGCGGCCACACCAGGACCCGAGGTCAGGGCGCCTCGGGCCGGAGGGCCCCTGCTCACCTCGGCTTCAGCCAGCTTCTTTTTTATGCCCTCAGAAGAATCTTCGCGGTTCTGCAGCTTCTCTAGCTCACGCTCAGCTCGTTCCTTTGCCTGGCGGATATTCTGCAGCAGCTCCGTGGCCTCTGTGCTGGCCTTTACTGCCTACCGGAAAAGAAGGGACAGGAGACAGATGGCCAATCTTATTCAGGTAAAAAGATGGTGACAATCTCCTCAATGGAAAAAAATGGGTAACACTGAGTCTATACTATATCCATTTTTCAAAACATACAGTCATTTTATTACGTATTTCATCTATTCTAAGTGCCCAGATATATATATATTAACATCACTGAATTTGGAATGCATCCTGCAGTTAAAATTGACAGCGTTTTTGCATTCTTGGGGTAATAAGACACTGGTATGTCTGACAATCATCATAGTTCATCACAACCTAGTAAATGCAAACAAAAAGGTCTAGAAGTATTTATCAGCCCAGGTATGAATGTGTTCCTCTTAGAGCATTCATTTTCTCCTTATTTAATTATCTCATTTGCCAATTTTCCTATGGGGAATTTGTGTTACTTTTACAAAAAACTATGAGCTTTTTTTTCAAATGAATACCTACACAGGGCACAACAACTGTAGTATTCATGGTAGTCCACAAATTCATGTTAAAAAAAAAACGAACCTTTTGAAATTAGGTCTTAACTGTACTGAAGCTCTTACAGCATCACAGTAAAGATCAAGTTTAAGCCTCACACTTACTTGCTTTAAATGATGACTTGAAAAAGTGAACCTACAAGGAAATTCCAACCCTGAGACCACTGGCCACACATGGCCCTTTGAGCACTTGAGATGTGACTGCTGTGACTGAGAGATTCATTTTACATTTTATTTATATTTAATTCATTTAGAAACTAAATCAGTGTAAATTTTTAAATATCAATACATACTGCAATGATATATTGGATCAATTGGATACACACACACACACACACACACACACACACACACACACACACATACATATATATAATTGGATATACTGGATTAAATAAACTATATCATTCAAATAATTTCAAGTTTCTCATTTGTCTTTTTTTAATGTGGTTACTAGAAGCTTTAAAATTATATCTGTGGCTGATATGTGTGGCTTGCATCACACTTCCATTAGAGAGCACAGTTTTAGATGAATCCTGACACAAACTTCTGCTGAAAGAGGGCAGTGGAGGCTTTCATTAGAACTCAAGAGTAGGTAAGAAGGGGACAAGTGAATGGATTAAGAAAATGTGGTCTGTGCCTACAGTGGAATATTATGCAGCCTTAAAAAAGGAAATCCTGTCACACATTACAACAGGGATGAACCTCAAAGACGTTATAAGTAAAATTATCCAGTCACAAAAGGACAAATACTCTGTGATTCTACTCATATGAAGTAACTGACATAGTCAAAATCATAGAAGCAGAATATACACAGGTGGTTACCAAGGGCTGAAGGGAGGAGGGTTGGGGGTTAGTGTCCAGCAGGTATAGAGCTAGAAACCCATTGCACAACAATAGGAATGTACTTAGCACTACTAAACTATACGCTTAACATAGTAAGATGGTAGAATTAATGTCATGTGTTTTTTATCACAATTTTGAAAGAAAGGAAGAAGGGGTTTCATTAAAGCAAGCCAGTAAACATTCACAAACATCCCTGATGTGAAAGGCAGTCTCAGATTACATTCATTTTGGCCATTTCATTCCCATTTCTGGTATCAACTCAGGGAAGGGTTATTAGCACAAACTTTGCGGGAGGCTGTAAACCAAACCCAGGCCCTCCCCAACCACAACATAACTGCAGCAACTCCAGCCTCAGGGTGCAGGAATGTTGCCAACAGTCTCTGATCGAAAGCAGTCTGGGTCGTGAACAGCACATGCTCCTTACAAATGTGCAAAGTAGGGAGCCTGGCCCCCTAAAGGGAGAGAAGGCCTCTGTCGTAGTATAATCAGAACTTTCACTTGAGAGTCTCACTCGGCTTGGTTAAAAAAAACAAACAAACAAAAAACTGCTGACAAGTCTCAAAAGGAAAAACTATGTTCAGAACTCTGATATTTTCAGGTAATAGCTCCCTCCCCCTTCATTTTCCTCACTGCTGGTTAACTAATTATTTCTTTCATCTTTTGTGCTCCAGGACAAGGCAAGGCAAAGTATTTGGAAATGGAAGCTAAGTTCCCAAAGAAATCACCCCAGGCTTACCTTTTCCAGTTTCTCTTGGAGTTCCTGAATTTTGAGCTGCTGCTCAGCATTGATCTATAATTAAAATCCCAGAAAATAAAGCAAAAGGCAAATTGGCATTAATATCTTGCTACATTTATTACAGGTCTATTTTCTTGAAGTTTCCATGGGGCCTTTTCCAGTACCGACTACTGGAGGGGGAAGAACCGTGGCCTATCAGAGAGGTCTTTGAATGCCCAATGCAAATCTCCATGTTGACTATTGCTCGAGAACCAGCAACATACACATGGCAAAAGAGAATCAAAGCTTCCCAGTGCCTTGAGACGATAAGAATTTTCACATACATTTTACTGAGTGTCTGGGTTTGTATGGTGCTCTAAGCCGGCATGACAAAAAATAAGGTAGGTATCTTTTATCCCTTCTCGAACCATAACAAAAGCTAAATGTGGCCATGCAGAGATTGGCCACCAAAGATATCTGCAACAGAGTTCTCTGTTCATTGCAAGAGTGTTCTTAACCAACGACTAGCCACAGAGAGTAGTAACATTTCAAAGATTATCTACCGAAAATAGCAATACTGATAATAGAAAATACCTTCTCCAGTTTGGAATATTCTCCTACTTCAGGCTTCCCTTGATCCTTAGCCTGTAATTTAAAAGATACAACACACTGGAAAATCTCAAGAATCTAAAAGTATTACAGAACAACACTACCCACTGTACTTTCTTGGTCACTCTAGCCAAAATAATGATGATGATGATACATTATATTTTATAAAGACCAGGAACTTTGCAGGGTATCCTAGTATTTCCCAAAAGTATATTATTAAGCTAGTATCCCCATATTCTTGCTAAGATCGTCCATGATTCTATCCCCAAAACACCCTCCTGGCAGGTGGCTGGTACCTTCATCAGTTTATGCTGACATTCTGTGGCTTTCCGCTTGAACTCTTCAGCGGCGAGCCGGGACTCTCTCAGCTCTGATTCATAGAGATCGCTCCGTCTTCTTGCAGAAACCAGGTCCTCCTCCAACTGATTCATCATCAATCTCATTTCTTCCACTTGAGCCTGGTACTCCTAAAGAGCAGGCAATGGAAGAAAGATGAACTTTAGAAAACTCCTAAAAGAAAAGACAGGCAGTGAAGGAAGATTTAAGGACATGGACTGCACAGGGAAGGTGCACATGGACACGGGAACGGCAGAGCAGACCTAGAGAAGTCGATGAGCAGCAGATGGGCAAAAGGAAGAGGCGTGGGGAGGATGAGGAGGTAGAAATGAATATTAAATCTTAGAAATGTTTGACACATTTAAATGTTTAAATGTGTCATTAGTAATATCCTTTGGAACACAAGTGCCTATTACACAGTAAGATCCTTTGAGCAAATAATGCTGCACAAAAAGCATAGAACCTTAAGGCATCTGTAACACAGGAGAGCCAAAAGGGATGTTCTTTAATCAGTCAGGATAAACTGCTTACATGGAGCTTTCCTCCAAGGGTAATTATTTATATAGATTTGTCCTTTAGAAGTCATGTGCTCCTAACACAATTATATATGGTACTAGTTTTAAAATTAACCTTTCAGATGGGACAAGGAGGTAATTAGAAATCTCAGTGGAAAAAAATCTTGGAAGGTGAAACTCATCATGTCAGTTTCCCACCATTAATTTTTCTGGGCCCTAAACTGAATGATGAAATTAACATTGCTCTTGAAATGCAAGTCACCCTGAAATTTGGAAGTGACAGGGAACACTGGCTGTGGTCAAATAACTTGAGATAAAACCTCCAAAGGAAGAATTATCTTGTTCCTTGCAGCAAACCCATTAAAGTGATACAAACGGCCTGACCTTTTCTGAAATGAATCTCTAAAATCAAAACTGAACATTTGAATCAATGTTTTTCAAAATTGGATTTACCAAAAGAAATGGGCAATGGTTTTGAAAACTTTGGGGCAAAGTATGAAAATATTCTCTCTTAACAAAAACCAAAGCTTACATATAAAAGGATTATGAGTGAACACTAAAATAAACCAAACCAAGGTGCCTGGGGGTGGGAGGGAAGAGATATAAAATGAAAAGAGTAAGGAATTGAATCAAGACTGTCTTTGGCATGCACAATATACAGTGAATATCTCTAAGATCCATTCTTTCAAGAAATAGTTGAAGAGGTATCAACTGAGCAAGGATATGTTTATAATCAATAAAATGTTATGGATTTTTTTTTAATAACAGGGTACAAAAATAAACCTTTCATCCCATTGTAACGGGCAATCCCCCCACCTGATGCACTGGGTGGTGATGTTCTTATGAAAAATGGGATAGTTTTCATGTAAGCACATTTCTCTATATCACCGGTAGAGAGCAAAGGAAAAAAATGAGCTCAGAGTCGAGCATGGTCTCATTTTATTCCCTCCCACCCAAAAGGATACTGTTCCTGAAGGTCAGTCCTAGAAGTCATGGGCACCAGGTTTTCTGGGTGGTGCTACTAAGTGGATGAAGCTGGGCTATAAAACCAAAGGTCTTTATAACCCGCTCACAATTACCTGAACTCACAGAGTGGAACACAAATAGATTATGTAAAATGATACATCCTTTACTCGGGGTTTGTCTAGACCTGTCAGCCAGGGTCACATTATGGCTTTCATGGCTCTGAGCACTGTGCTTTCCTGGACCACTAACTTCATTTAAAAAAAAAAAAAAAGTATATATAATTACATTTTACAACTGCATTCATATAAAGACAAAAACATTAATATTATCTAGGAAACTACTTTCTTTGACCTAAAAACTCAGTTTTTTCTTCTGATTTGAAAAAAATTAAAACATTTTATGGGCCCATCAACCCTGCCCACAGGCACACACACCAAACTGCAGAGGAAGTGAAGAGCTGGGAGAAAATCTTAGGCATCTCTTTTGCTCAAGCTCCCTTTTCTGTCTTGAATTGACATCAGTAAGAAGGAAACGTAAAATTTGTATTTTGTCAAGTGCGAGGACAGAGCACTGTTCCTCCCGCAGTCTCTTTCCTGAGCCATCAGCTCCCAGGAGGAGGAAGGCAGGACTCAGGCAACATCTCTGCCCAGCTCTGAGGTACCCAGCTGGCCACAAGCATCAAGAGGAATTCTGCCTCATTTGTTGAGCCGCTTAGGATGCTGGATTCTTCCAGGAATTCCTATAAATCCAACAGCTAACCAAATCCCTGCTTCTGGAAAAATCTGAGAGGAGATCGTGTTTCAAGGACTGCTGAGAGAGAGCTGTCGTATCTCAGCATGGACTGAACTGCAGGTCAGAGTTGAGTGGGATCATAATAGGGAACCATCAGCAACTTTCAAGGCCTGCCTTAAGCTAGTCTTCTAAACGGAGCTTCAAAATTTTGCAGAAAGGAAGTATCTATCAGGCGCGGTCCTATTCAGTCAGAAGTCCCAAAACACCGATGCCTTCTGTGTTTCCTTCTATTTCCTTTCCTGAGAACAGGGTAAGGGGAATCAGCAATCACTAGTAATGGTGCATGAGTCAAACTATCACGGGAGACTCTAGGTGTTTTTATTTTAAACCAACTCCAAGTACTCTACAGGAGGTAGCTAAGTAGAAGCAAAATATTAATTAAATAAACAGCTGCACGGAAATTTGCTTTGAAGAGAAAGAGCGGGGGGAATAAATGCCAAATCCAGGAGGAATCAGCAATACTGCAAACCAAATACCAGGAGTGTGCTGAAAGCATTAAATGCTTCTTCCTGGATTGCAAACATCCTGCTCTCACAAAACTTAACAAAAGTCATTTTAATAAGTTCTTACAATGAGAAGTAAAGATCTGAAACTGAGAAATTTTCTTCCCCCCCAGCGGAAGTTTTAACAGTCATTAAATTTAAAACTCCACATGCATACTCACTGTGATATGAATCACCAAAGACATTTCTTTGAATTCAACCACCAGTATATATACCTTTTTAAAATGACCTGGTAATTCTGGTTCAATGGAATTCATGGACACCAGCTGCTCCCTCTGGTGGCCAAACACAGCTTTCATTTCCCCAGGATGTCACCAAGAGCAAATTTCCAAACACATTGAATAGGAGAAAAAGAATCCTACCTCTTGAAACTTTTAGGATGAAAAGCTATGTTGATAAAAGAGGCAATGAGTCAACTCTCAAAGCAGATTTTTCAAACTATTATGTGTGACCTTCAAAATCTCTTAAGATTAGTATTGTTGTTCAGGAACTCAAAAATCAGATTGCAACATTTCCTATGCACATTTAGAACATTTTTAACAAGCAAAAGAATATTAAGCAATCATTTAAAAATATTAAGGTGGTAAACAGATTATGCCAATGAAATCCCCCAATGTTTTTTTCTTGGAAGAAGAGTTAATCGATCCATTTATTTGCACAAGTTTTTTGCATTTAGCACCACCCAGATGGCTAAGGTTATGCTACTCAGAGACAAAAATGTTCATTTTCATCACTGTTTCCATTAGATTTTCAGAAGTGAATGAGAGTAGCCTGGCAGCTGATAATTCAGTTCTCCAATTGCTCATTGCCATCTCTTCATTAAAGTTTCTATTTACAGTTTCTTCAAAGGACAGAAAAATCCATGCTAAAAAGGAAACAATGAAGCAAAATAAAAATGAACCATCTAGAAAGAAAACCCTTTTAGAAAAGGATTAAAAAAAAAGAGTAGGCTTTTTAAAGGTCTCGATTTTCTTTTTTAAACACCCAGGGGATGGCTTTCGGCTCTCAGATTTGCCATGTTAATTCTGACTCGGCCTTAATTGTTCAAACTCTTCTTCTAGAATATTTCTTATATAAGTAAAACTGAATTATCCTGGCTTCTCTCAAAAACTTAAAGTGCATCTTAACAGCTATGAAAACATTTGATTTTTTTTTTTTAATGGTCTAAAGCACAGGTTGGCCAACCTTTTTGGTAAAAGCCTAGATAGGAAGCACTTCCAGCTTTGCAAGCCTCTTAGTCATTGTCACAACGGCTCACCTCTGCCGCTGTAATGTAAGTAGCCACAGACAGTACATACATGAATGAATGAGTGTGGTACTGTTCCAACAAAACTTTACTTATGGACACTGAAATCTGAATTCCATATAATTTTCACATGTCATAATTATTTTCTTTGGATTTTTTCCCCCCAACCGTTTAAAAATGCAAAAACCATTCTTAGTTTGTGGCCATGGAAGACAAGGAGGAGGTCAGATTACCCACATAGGCCACAGTGTGCCCAGCCTTGGTGTAAACCTATACCTTTAAGAGAAAAGCATAGCCATTATGGGGCGTAAACTTATAAAGGAGTCAGAACAGACACTCTACTGTTTATATAATCATGGGGAATCTGAAGTTTCCAAATGACCTACATACCTCTCCTTCCACCTTTCTCTTTCCCTCTTTCTGTCTCTCAAACACACCTCTCCTGAAATTAGAGGTCCGAGTTGCTGCACCATCCCAGGCAGGCAGTCCTACCTGCTCTTTGATTTCTTGGAGCTTCCGGCTCTGCTCTCTGATATCATGGAGAAGCTGCAGTGCTTTGTCATCCTCCTGGGACACCTCCATCCGCGCTTGCTCCAAACTTCGCTTTAAGCTCTGCGGAAAGCAAAAATTTTAATAGGGATGCCCTGTGGATCCTGCTCTGTTTGAAAAGATTCATTAAGGGAGCTGCAAGCTGCTTCGCAGGCACCAGGACGGTGTCGGGTGCCGGACCAAGGCTGACAACTTCCAGTTGGTTGTCGATTCCAGTTTTCGTCCTGCAAAATCCCTTGGCTCAAGAAAACATCATCTCAACCTTTTGACCTTAGGAATCCGGCCTGAAACTGCATCAACCTGGTTCCTACCACCATCTAATGGTCCTAGCAGATACTTACCTGTATGTTCAGGACTGTAAACTAGTAAGATCCCTTAGCCATTAAACCACCACTGGGATGCTACAAAGTCTTTTCTGGAATATCAGCTATTTGAGGATGCTAAGGTATATATTCCTCTTTCAGAGGAGCAATGACTTCATTCTCTGCCCAGGTGTCTGTTAAGACTCCAAGCAGTCTATTTCCACCTCCTGGCTTACGTTTTCTGGACACCTTTCATCCATAAGGTTCCCTCAATGCTTCAGTGGCACTGAAATATATATCTGAAATACATAGCTGAATAACTTCACCCACCACTGAAAGGCAGCCAAATCTGGAATGGAAACATAGCAGTTATTCTTAATCAGCCACGTCCTATAGATTTCCTCTCCCTTGTGAAAAAAACTTGAAAAATGTGTGATTCAACTTCTTAAGACTGTTTAATTGGGCACATTAAAAAAACACCTGAATGAAATTTTTAACAAGACAATGGAGAAGACAATCTACTCTTGTGAAGAAAAAAAAAGTCACATGGGAAATAATGACAGAGGGTCTGGGTTTTAAAGGCTGAGTTTTCCTGTTGCTACATTGGTTCTAGGCAATGGAAATTGATTAAAATACATTGTCTTGCACTTTGGGAATCTGGTTCCCAAGGCTGATCATGTGGGACACGATGCAGATCAGAGAGGTTAGGATGGGAGGTGTTGGGCCCCTTTGTGACCCACTGCAGTGACGCCGAGGCCCCTCTCCAGGCTCCACAGCCTACCTGGACTTCCTGGAGGGACCTCGGGTCTGGCTGAAGCTACTTTGCAAATCACATATCTTGCTTCTGGACTCTCCCTCTTTCTACTCTCTGCCACTGACTGTGATGTGCCTCATGAAGCTGTCACATAACAGGATGAGACACACACAACAGAAAGTGCTACCTCCAAGGGAAGGGGACTTTGGGGAAGGCTCACACTGCATTCTGTGATGTAGGTAGCAAGGTCCTGCTCCAGGAGGGATCTCTGAGTCTCAGAGGCCTTCAGCTCCACCTCCTTCTGACTAAGCACGGCCTCCACCTCTGACACTCTCCGATGTAACCGGGTCATTTCCTGCTCCATCTGAAATAAACACATCGACAGGTTAAAAAGGCCCATGGAGGTTCGTTAGGAGCAATCAAATCTCAAGTAGCCGCCAAGACCACCTGGTGGTCTGGGCTGGTGCTAATTCGCCCAAGGTTGGGATGGAAATACCATTGTTTCTTCGCCCAGGAGCACACGGTTCTTCGTGAGGACAGTCACCAATGCTAAGTCACTCCTCTCATTCAAGACTTGGTTCACACTTGATCACGCCTCTAACCCAGTGAGCAGGGAAGCCACAATCATCATTTTTCACCTGTTTGCTTTTTTGGGTTGGTTTGGTTTTTTGCAGACGTCACTTTAATTTTATCCCAAATCCATCTTGATCCCCCCCATCTCCTTGCAAAGATCTAGAGGACAAATCCAGGACAGGGCAAGGAGATATGTATTCGTCTGCACACTTAGGAGTCCCAGGCAAGTAGTGACTTTTATGAGCTTCCAGAGAGCTGCCCCTGGGCAGAACAGTGAGTGTTAAGAGACGTTGAGCATAATCAAGACAGTGGCCGCAGTTACGTAAGCAGTTTTTAGAGACTAGGAAGAGAGACTTCGCATCACTCAAAGCAGATGGGATGCATCTCGGCCACAGGTGAGGACCCACGCCACCTGCCGGAAGAAGCAGACATCTGGCTGGGTCATGCTGAGGAGCGGGGTCGTTTTAAATCCAGGGCCTCCTCTGGTTAAGATTTAAAGGATTTACGCCAACGCCAAGGCCTGAATTCATCTCCCTCTGAGCTGCTGGAGGCGGGACTTCAGCGAGGGAGGCAGCGCCTCGCTCACTCTCTCTGTATGGATCAGGTAGCTCAGTGCCAGCAGTGGCCCCGGGCGGATCCCTTGGCACACACTGACGGGAGGATCCTGGAGCAAGGAGGGAGGCCGGCTGTGGAAATAAATACCTTGTGACACTTGTCCTGGGAGTCTTGCAGTTCTTTGCTTTTGATGAGAAGTTTCTTTTCCATGGAGCTAGTCTTGGCAGGGGAGTCCAGACTTGACACAATAGACCTAGATAAAAGAAAACCAAAGTCAAGGTGGCAAACAGGTGAGCCTGAAAAGCTGCATTCAGAAGCTGCAGACCTGCCAGAGTTTACGGCTGTCAAAAAGGGCTAGTTCAAGCAGCTCTTAAGCATATCAAGGCCATAAGGCAGAGAGGTGGACGGAAGCAAGAACCCTGGAAGCAGGCAGACCTGGGTGCAAATTTAGTCACCACCAATCTGAGGCAATGATTCAGCCTCTCTTGAGCTTCGGTGTCCATATCTATGAGGTGAAATGATAATAAGAGAATCGACTACACAGGATAATAAATACAGCACAGGAGAAGTGAGCACCAAACTCCCAGCACGGTGCCTGCATGGCTTCAGTCACTTATTCACTCGACAGATGTGTACTGTGCTCCTCCCCTGTTTCAGAGACTGCTCCAGGCACTGGAGCAGCCATGAACAAGACAGACAAGGTCCCTGCCCTCCTGGAGCTGACATTCACAGAGGGCAGACAGGATGTATCAGGCAGATAGACAAACAAGAAGGCCACAGATGATGTGAAAAAAGGAAACAGGGTGATATGATCTAGTAAAGGAAATGCATCAGAGAAATGCTTTAAGCAAGGGGATCAGGGAGGGCTTCTCTGATGGGTGACATCTGAGCTGAGACCAAAGGATAAGAAGGTGTTGGCCATCCAAAGCTATAGAAAGAAATAATCTCCAGGGAAAAGGGATAACAGATGCAAAGGCCCTGAGGCAGGAGTGTGAGAACACAGCCAGCACCCAGTAAATGTTGTTATTACTCTAGTGATCAAATTGTTGTTTATTCCATCCCCCAAGCTAGCCAGCATGATTCTGGTTCATTTTATAAAAACAGCTAATGCTTATTATGGTAGGCTGAATAATGTCTCTCCCCCAAGAGGTCCACATTCTAATCTCCGGAACCTGTGACTCTAGGACCTGACCCGGCAAAAGGGACTCTTGTAGATGTGACTAAGTTACAGATTTTGAGATGAGATGATCTGGGCCGTCTGGTGTGTCCAATGTCATCACCAGGATCCTTTTAAGATGGAAGCAGGGGAGGGGAGGGGGTCAGTCAGAGAGACAGGAAGACGGTACATTGAAGATGGAGGCAGACACCATGGGCCAAAAATGCCAGTGGCCTCTAGACGTTGGGAAAACCAAGGTAACCAATTCTCTTCCAGAGACTCCAGAGTTCAGGCTTGCTACTGTCATTTAAGCCGAGTAAAACCCATCTCAGACTTTTCACCTCTAGAACTCCAACATAATACATCTGTGCTGTTTTAAGCCACTACATTTGTGGTAGGAAACTCATACACTTACAGAGCGCTGACTGCATGCATGGCTCTGTTGTAAAGCTAGGCACATTTTAACTCTTTATTCCCCAGAACAACTCTATGAGGCAGACACAATTCATTATCCTCATTTTATAGATGAGGAAACTGAGGCCCAGAGAGGTTAACTGACTGTTAATATATGATTTCTATTGGTCCCTAAGATGGAGAGCCATGGTAGAGATGACCTGATGCACCTCATAGAGCTCTCAGGATAATGTCACGAAAATCAGGCAGCGTGACCTCCTGAGAAGGGGCTAGAAGCATGCTCTCTCCACAAAGAACACAGACTTGTGCACACTTGTACACAGAACTCAAACACTCTGCCTTATCTCTAAAAGCAGTTAATTAAGGGGGAGATGACAATTCTCAGCCAGGGCACCTTCCCTTGCTGGTTGGCACCCAGGGCACAAACACTGAGACCAGGGAAGGTCAGGGCCAGAGTAATAGTCGGCAAAGGTTCTTACACACAGAGGGACATGTGGCCGAGCCCAGAGTGGCCCATAGTCCCGTATTTGATGCCTTGGTGACAGGGCTGCAGAAGCTGGTTGTCAGTGAGCATTCACCTCTCCCCAGCAGGTGGAAGTTCTGCTTTCTGCTGACCCAAATACTTCCCTACCTGGAAGAGGTCGGTTCCCTGCAGCAACTTAGAAGACCTCCCTCCCTGCAGCTCTGGGCCCAGTCACAAGGCTGGCAGACAGTGCTGGCTCACTGCACCCCAGCAACAATTCCCTGCACACACACTACAGGGCAGCCATGAGAGGTGACGATCAGTCACAGTGTTCAGTTCAAAATCTGACTCCACCACTCACTGTGTGACCTCTCTGAGCCTCAATTTCCTCATCTGTAAAATGGGGATAATTCCCAGCCAAAATCAAAGAGTTCTTGTGAGGATTAAATGAGATAAGCCACATAAAGCCCTTAGCACAGTGCCTACCACCCCATGAGAATTCAATATATGTCAACTGTTACTATTATCATTGCCATCATTTATCATCACTACCCATGTGACAGTATAAATAGCACACACCTTACAGGCCTAAAACAGTTGCTTGAAATAGTAAAATTTCAGGGGGCCTGTATTTGCTCTGTGGTGTTATTCACAATAAAACAAAGGTTGATTATTCATAGAAATGGGCAATAGGGATAGAAATCCAGACATACATCTTTTTCTCAATCTCACTTTTGGCTAAAAATCTAAAAGCTCAGCCCCTCTCATTAGCCTGTCTTCTACATATATGTAACCAAAACATATACACACATGTTTTTTCTTGTTAATCTGAGAAGAAGTGGGTTGCGTGGCATGGTCCTGAGTTGCTCTGCTATTTCCTTTATTTCTGACTTCACTCTGGACAGTTGGACAAAAGAAGACGACCCAAAGCACCCCAGGAGGGAGGGATGACCACAGGTGGGGTCCCTGGTCCTGTGGTGGTCCAGAGTTACCCACAGGCCATTAAGTCGCATGCATGGACATGAGTCAGGGATGACAACAGAGGCCACAGCTCACTGTGTCCAGACACGGAACCAGACCCCTTCTAGGAGAACGATGCATGGGAGTCTGGCACTGGGTAGGAAGTGGCTTCCAAAACTTGGTGACAGATCAGCGGCAGGCTCCAGGGTTTCATGGTTAAAGTGACTACCATGCACAAAACTGATTGCTTATTCTCAAACACACACATACACACACACACACACACACAACTGTTTCTAGGGCACTCATTAATGGGACCCAGGATCTAGGAGATATGTGGCCGCCACCTGCTGACACTCTCAGGAGACACGACAGCCCTGCTCATCATCTGAGGTCCATCTCCCTCATTCTATTTTGATGCTTAACAAATGTTCACTGTTTAGAAGTTCTAAGTACAGCAATTAAGAGCTCTTCAGAATAAAGGTGCTAAAGAAATCATTTATTTTTTTCAGAATAAATAAAAATCACATCTAAAAAAAGCTATGGGAAGAATGCTGTGAGAAACCGGGCTTGTAGCAGTAATCCTGTAAACAGTGGAATTGGAGGAGGAGGCTGGAGGATAGAGGGGGAAAGGTCATTGCAGCTTTCTGGAACTTCCCTGGTCTTCAACCCAGCTGTACCTTATAGCACCTGGGGAGCTTTTAAAAAACACCATGTCAGGCAGTGAACATACTCTGTGTGATACTGTAGTGGTGACACATGCTATTAAACGTGCCCAAACCCATAGAATGTACACCACCAGGAATGAACCCTAAGGCCAAATGTGGACTTTGGGTGATATCGACATGTCACTGTAGGTTCATCCATTGTAACAAATGCCCCCCACTGTGCGGGATGTTGACAGTGGGGGAGGCTGTGCAAGTGTTGGGGGCGAGTATATGGGAAATCTCAGTACTTCTTGCTAATACTGCTTCGAAACCTAAAACTGCTCTAAAAAAATTAAATCTTTTAAAAACAAAACAAAAATAATTTCCAGGGCCCAAACAGACCATTTAATCAGAGACAGAGTGGAACCAGGCGGCACCATTTTTATTAAGCTCCCAGGTGATACTAATATAGAGACAGGATTGAGCACCATGGGGCTAATTAGAAGAAAGTGCCTGTGATTTGGGGTCTGGACATTTAAAACTCATAGTATAACTGTCCCAAGCATTTGGTCCAGTGGCATTTTGGCCAGGCCATTTAGTACTGGTGCCTCTTGGTCAACTCACTGAGTGGAGACACAATTTTGAAGTTAATCATCGTGGGCTATGAATTTCAAGACAATGTACAGGTTTCAGACAATGATTAAAAACTATTGTTACCCCCTAATTTTAATAAGTCAACAAAAATATACCCTTTCCATGAATTTCTATAAAAATATACTAGAGACAGGTATGGCTCAACTTAACGTAACTGTATTCTATTTATTTTTCACGCAGATCCTTAGGCCAATGTAGTCACTAGCACCAATGACAAGCTCTCAACATGTTATGTCTTGAATGAAACGCTCTCCCTACCCAATAGAGACTGTGAAATATTATCACAACTTACTTTCTTTTTCTAGGATTTTCATTTAGTTGTCCTTCTGACTTTCAAAGCAACAGCAAATTATTGCAACACTTGCATTATTTTAGAATCTGACCATAATATCAATCACAGCTTGAGAGGTTTGATCCAAAGCGGGCCTCAGAGCCACCAGACTACAACCAAATACAGCCCTGTCCTCTGCAAGTAGCAGCTCCGCTGGTCTAAAATCATCTCAAGAAGTACCATTTCATCAAGGGTGGTGGTATTATTTAAAGGGCTGAAGCTGTTGTTGCTTTAAGGAAAGTGTGTGAACATTCCAGGAACTGGCGGGAACTCTGCAGCTATGGGTGATGGGTGCAGAATTACATGAAGAAACTATCTCATCAAGGAGTTCTGTTGGCCCTGGAATGGGACAGAGTCTGCCTGCTACTAAAGAGTCCTCCCAGAATTTCCTCTGTTCTCAAAATACTCAAACTTCAACGAATATTTTTTGACCATCTTCTATTGAGTGTGTGTGTGATAGATAGATGGAAACAAGAACATAAACGAAAGAAGAGAAAGAAACTAAACTAAAGCCCTGTGATCCGAGAGGCACCTACAGACCAACAGCTCCCAACCACGGGCAACTTGGCACCCCCTCCACTTTCCCCCCCTGCCCCCGGGGACATTGGCAATGCCTGGAGACTTTCTC